GTAGTTAAGTGGAGATAAGAATTTCACAGACTTTTCTGCCCAGGCTGGCTTTGAATCATGATCATCAGATCTCAGCTTCCTGAGTATCTAGGATTATAGACATGAGCCATCGGCGCCCTGCTGTAAATATTTTTTGAATGCATAACTGCAATAGCCCTCACTCCGTTTTCTGGGGTATTATTTCTGCTGTATGTAGATTTGGGATTGCTCTGCCGCATTTGGGGCATGTGGGTATACATGTACATATCTGTATTTTTTGTATATGTTGCTTTTATAAAGTTCTCTTTTTGACAGAGTCTCAGAGTCTCCGTACCCACAGCGTAGCAGGGCATGTGTTTCCTTAGAACATTTAATTTGTTGCTTATTCTATTCATTTACTCCTGAAAGTGGAAACGTGCAGAAGGACCAGTGTCAGTCTGTTAACATTTTGTGTGCTAGGCCTGTTTCAGTACTAGAGCTGGGGCAGGTTGAAGTGGGTGGCCTTAGCACTTTGCAGTGCCTAGAAGGCATTCATCATAGTCAGTCTGTTGAACTAACGGGGCATATCTGCATTGCCGAAATATAAGCACATTATGTTCTTTCTGGAATCCTCAGTTCCTTTTGTCTCCATCTTAAGCATTATATCTTTAGCAGTGATAGATGCTAGGTATTAAAGATGGATATAAGAGTGTGATGAATAACCCAGAGCTCATGTTAGATGGCCTATCCCATTTCAAAATCTGATGTTCTATCTTACTTTAAGAACCCTTCATTTTACAAAGAAAAATGACACACAGGTAAGAGTGCTAACTTCTGAATCTAGTCTCTCCAACAAGACTAGAAGGGTGCCTAAGTATCTTTATTTTTTGTGATTCTGGGGACTAAACCTAGGGCCTCATGGATATGTGACAGATACTGCCGCTGACCCACACCACTAGTCGAGCATTAGTGTCCAGTATTTGTGTAGCACGTGGGTCTGAGTGCAGTTCACCAGATGTACGTAGAGTTACCAAGAATAAGAGTAATACCCTAAGTTGGTGGGTGATAGGAGAAGTATTGTCTGAGTGTGGAGTGGTGCTAGGCACTGTCAGGGCAGGGCAGGCAGGAAAATTTTTCATTAATTTGCTGGGCTTTGGGGGCTAGAGCTGTAATGTTTGAGAGTGTGTTTTGATTCCTCAATGTGTGGGTTCTAAAATTAATAATGATCTTATGGAAATTTAAACATTATTCAATGAATTTTATTTTATAATTATTATAATAAATGCCACATTTAAAGTATTTTCAAAAAGGATTCTATATTAAGAAACATTATATGATATTAGCTGTTACATGTTGCCACTAAAATGTTTAGCTTTTACATTTAATAAGCACCAAAGAATAGGTATCACGAGTTTTTTTTTTTGTCCACAATTCCATTCTTAGTACTAAGCAAGGTGATTGTGTATAGTGCTTATGTAGGTTACTTATCCAATGAAAAAAATGAACACAACAAATTGAGACATAATGAGTCAGAAAATGCCAGCTAACCACTATGTTGATGTTACCATGGAAATCCTGAAGACATTTGTAATTGCAGCAAGTTGGCAGTAGAATTAGATTGATGCAATGAAAACAAGGCAGACCAAAACAGACCGAGCAATATAAGTCACATCATACATATATATGTATATTTGCATGTACATACATATAAGTACATGCACACATGTACATATATGTATGTGTATATATATATTTTCAATATCAAGGGAGTATTTAGGTGAAATTCCTCCAGTTAATATTTTTCTTTGGTGTGGTAATACTACATAGAAAAAGAAAACAATTACACATTCTTAAAATTCTTTTTAAAATTCTGTTTCAGTGACAAATATCTGAACATTGAATATTAAACATTCAGAATAATTTATATTTTTTAAGTAATTATAAGAAAATTATAAGAACATGCCTCTGGCTGAGGTCTGGAAATCACCATTTGGCACCAGCTTGGCTTGAAAGTCCATAGACTCTGATCTCCAATTAACCACCAAATCTAGAAGTGGAGCTGTAGCTCAAAGTAGTAGATTGCTAGCCTTGAGCACAGAAGCTCAGGGACAGAGCCCAGGCCTTGTGTTCAATGATGTTCAAGGACCAGCACCAATAAATTAAATAGATAGGCATAGAGATAAATAGATACATAGATAGATAGATAGATAGTTGATAGATAGATAGATAATATAGTGATCCCTCACCTATTGCAAGAGTTACATCCCAGAGACCCTGGAGATAGGTGAAAATCTGTGAAGTAGCTGTGTTAGATAATCATTCTTCACTATATCATAGTTCACTTATTGCTACTTCGCGGATTTTCATCCTGGTGGGGTCTCTGGAATGTAGCTCCTGCAATAAGTGAGAGACTGCTATTTACATGTTAAAAAAAAAAAAAAACAACCGCAATACAGTGAAGTTGCAGTCAGTGGATGCAGTATAGTGAGGGACAACTGTAATTGACTAAAGGACTGAAAAACTAGGATACTTAATATGGGGGGATATCTCAATGACTAGCTTTCTCTTTAATGAAATTATTTACTTATGTTCAGGAACTTTTCATAATAGTAGCTAAGCAATAGGGAATACCTTACTTGTACAATTCCCTATATAAGGGGCTCCACAGACCTTTAATCCTCATAATAGCCCTAAGTGGGACATGTTATCCTCCCCATTGACAGATAAGAACAGTCTTAAAGAGATCACATGAAGTGCTCAGATCACATAGGTAGCAAGCAGCAGATTACATAGGTAAAATAGTAAAAAAAAAAAAATCTCTGCATCTGACTATCCAGTGACCTTTAAACGTACTTTACTGTTACTGATACTTTAGTTCTACTTAATAAAGATTACTACAGAAAATCAGCACGCCTTTATAATTTCATTCACGAGGTTTAAAAAAACATGGCTCAATGTTCATCCAAAATTATTTGTGTGTATTTTTTATCTTCAAGTGTTCCGTCAGTTTTTTGACAGCTTAGAGACTGATTGGTTCCTTACTGTGATTTTAAACTTTTCTTGGGCTGAGAGTAGACAACTCCCCTCATAATACCCTCCCTACATTGGGGCATCCCTACTAAAGCAGGAAATGTTTTGTTGTTTTTTTTGGGGGTGTCCTGTCGTGGGGCCTGAACTCTGGGCCTGGGTGCTGCCCCTCAGCTCTTCAGCTCAAGGCCAGCGCTCTACCACTTGAGCCACAGCGCCACTTCCGGCTTTTTTCTTTTTGCTTATGTGGTGCTGAGGAATCAAACCCAGGGCCTCTGGCATGCAAGGCAAGTGCTCTACCACTGAGCCACCTTCCCAGCCCCAGGAAATGGTTTTTAAAGTTCTCTGTTTCGTCATCACAATTCACAATTTTAGTTTCTATTTCAAGATAGACAGATGGATAGACAGATCAAGACAGACAGACAGATAGATAGATTAATTTCATTGTACACACAAATCCCATTGGAACCCTTGAACACAAACAACAAATACTGATTTTGTTACTTGGAGGAATATATTGGTAGTTTTCAGATACAACAGAAAGGCTTGGGCTATAGATTTTAGAAACAGATTAGAATCTAGGGGATGAGGGATTTGCTATCATACTCCAGGTTTTAATACAGGACTGTCTGGTTAGGGTGCTTCAGTGAATTGATATATGCATTTGGGTATAATGTTTTTTCTTCATTGATTAATTGTATCATCATTAGTAAGAAATGAGCTGGGCAATTTGGCTTATGCCTGTAATTCTGGCTACTCAGGAGGTGGAGATGAGAAGTATCACTGATTCTAGTTTGGACAAAAAATTAGCAAGACCAACAAAAAAAAACTGGGTATGGTAAACATGCTTGTCACAGATAGGCTAGAAGTATAGATAGGACAATTGTGGTCCAGGCTGTTCCAACAAAGTTGTTTGAGACCCTATGTAAAAAATACTAAAGCAAAAAAGGCTTTAACTAGTAGGGTACCAGCCTAGCAAGTACAAAGTCCCTGAGTTTAAACTCCAGTGCTGCCAAAAAATAAAGAAGGAAAATATTGGGGAAAAATATACTTTAAAATTTACAAATACTAAGGTATTGGTAAAAAAATCCACTGATTAAATATTGGTAAAAATGGTGTATTTATATATTAACATACCATATTCTTAATAAAATATTATAATAGATGTAATCATACCTGTAGAATGATATTCAGGATATAAAAGTAGAGAAATGTTACCAAATATTATGTTTAATATTATTCTAGTTCTGTTTAAATATACATTGAACCTAGTGGCTTTCATTTCTGAATGCTTGAGTTCTATTTATTACATCATATTTCTATAATATATGAGATATATTTTACTAATAAATGTACTTTTTTTTACTAGCTGGAGCCTTCTATTACAAGATTTTTCCCATCATATTTTATTAAAACAATACCAGTAATTTAGCTTTCTCTGCTCTGTGTAATCTTTCTAATAACTAGAATACTTCTTTCTCCACTCTCCTCACCCTCCACTATAGCATTGAGGATACAAGAGATTTTTTTTCATTCATGATTATAGACAACTGAATATTTGAAGAGTAAATAATGGACAGATACCAATTAATTTTACATTGCAGTCTTAAATTACCATGGAGTACTATGTGATACAGTTAAATATTGTTTTATAACACAGAATCTGAGCCCATTCTGTTTTATTACTATGTTTTATTATTGTTGTTGTTATTATTATTACTCTTTTTATTCTAAACAGTATATTTAGTATAGTTCTTTTCTCATTCTTGCATAATCCTTGTGTTTCTATTGTTGTAAGTTTAAACTCTTGAGTAAAAACTTTTAGGTAAAGACTTTAAAATATCTTTCTTTCTTAAAGATTTAATACATATTTAACTTTGGCATAAACTTGAAATTCATTATCATTTGATCGTTTTTGAATTATTGAACTAATGCTATTTTTAAAACCCATATTATGGTGATTTAAGTATTTTAAGAATTAAAGTTATGATTTTTGTTGGCTTGTTCGTTTTTAGCATTCCATATTGGAAGAAGAGATTTTTATGCATGAAAAATGCCTTTGTTTAGTAAATCACACAAAAATCCAGCAGAAATTGTGAAAATTCTGAAAGACAACATGGCCATTTTGGAAAAACAAGAAAAAAAGACAGAAAAGGTATGAGCTAAGACAAAAACATTGTTGAAAAACATTTATTTTAAGGCCAAAACACGAGTAAAAAAAAAAAAAACGCTTAATGGAGGAACCCAAACGAGACTGTGTGTGATAGGCACATAGGGTTCTAAGAAAAACATTTAGATTGGCTTCAGGTTTTTATGTACTTAATAATTGTTCATTCTGCTGTGTTGTACTCGGTTCACTAGTGAGCATCTTGGCCTATGCTGGATCACTGTGGAATTTAAAGATCTCAGGGGTTGTACTAGTGTATCATGTTACACTGAAATAAAAGAGGAAAAAGCCTTAGTTAAAAATTGGCAGATCGATTGTACTGCAGTGCAACCTTAGTTTTTCTACAAGCAACTAGTCTATAATATGATCCAACATGCCTATAATACAAATGCCTGTGAGTTCATCATAATTTTCTGTCCTAGTGTATAATACAATTTAAATTTTATAAGGGATGCAAAATACCTTAATTTTAACATTCTCTATAATATTGAGCCAAATATTGACCCAGAATAGAAATTTAAATGACCCTCATAATTTTGGGTCTGGTAAGGACTGCATTTCATAACAGGACCACATGGAGTAGCAAAATGATTTATCTCATGGCTCAGACTAGAAAAGATAGGGAACCCATAGTCCCCTTCAAGGGTATATCCCCAATAACTAGAAGAGACTTCCCATTTCTTAAAGTTTCTACTGCTTTACAGAAGCACCAAAGCTGAGGACTAAGCCTTTATTGAGGAATCTTTTTGAGGGATCTTTAAGATCCAAACTATAGCAATGCCATGAAATACACAAAAGTATTTACATCTTAGGATGTAGCGAAAATATTCTGAGAGATGGTCACAAAGAGGTTTGCTTCATAATTCTCAGCTCTCTATAATTTAAAGTACCTTCTATGGATATACCAACAGTAATACAATAATCTTCCTAGACTCAGGACATGATTCAAGTGGAAGAGTGTCTGACTCCTAAGTTCCAGGTCCTGAGTTCAAACCCAAATAATGCCCTCCCTCCCGTGGGGTGCAGGGGGGTGGAGACAATCTTTTATCTCTTAATAAGTTAAAGATTGCTTCCATTCAGGCCATAAAAATATCTGGATTTTTTTTTCTTTTTTGTCAGTATCAAGGTTTGAACTCTGGGTCTTGTGCTTGCTGGGCCTGCCTGCTCAGCTAGCACTCTCCCACTTGACAGAAAATTCATTTTTAAAAGTAATGTCTTGCTGTTATTTTAATGTTACTTGTGTTTTTCTGCTCATCCCCTTTTACATTTATTATTACTGTACTGTTAAAAGTAATAACATTATAATTCTTTAAAAATAGTAAAGCAAATTGTTAGCTAAATTAGTCTGCTTTCCAGTGTTACCTGTATTTTTAAAAATGTATTGAGGTATAATTCACATAGCATATGAAGACCCATTGAAAGGATAGTTTTTAGTGTATTCCCAAGGTTGTACAACCAGTATCACATTTTCATTGCTCTAAAGAAAACATGCACCATTAACTGTCATTCTCATATTCCCTCCTCTAGGGCTTAATACCTTGCTTCTGTGAATTTATTATTCTTTAAATGTAATTGAATTATTTTAAATTTCATAAATGCAAAAAGTCAGTTACATTTGAGGAATACACAAACTGACAAAACTTACAAGTTTTTACAACTTGTGCATTTATATCTGACCAATGAAAGATCACGAGAATAGGGATTTGTTGAAAAACCTTAACATAATACTGTAAATAATGACTAGTAAGTCTTCAAGTCAGACTGTGTTTAATTTTTAGGAGTAAAGTTAATATATATTGTTTATTTCTACTTGTTATTAGCAAAATTAGACTATAATATGGTTTAAGGAAAAATTACTTCAGTTTGTTGGCTAAGAAGAAATATTATAGATATATTTACATAAATTTTAGTAACATTTCCTTAAATAAAAAAGTAGTGCCCCCTAATAGTTTGTTTATAACTATGAAATGGTCTTTGATTACAAATAAATTGGGGCCAAAAGATGTTTTTTTTTATTGACTTGTTTATGGCAGGAAATTACTATTCTTTTTAACTGTTAGCATATTTTCTGATCACTAGGCTTCAGAAGAAGTGTCAAAAGCACTGCAAGCAATGAAGGAAATTCTGTGTGGTACAAATGACAAGGAGCCCCCAACAGAGGCAGTGGCTCAACTGGCACAAGAACTCTACAACAGTGGGCTGCTGGTGACACTGATAGCTGATCTGCAGCTCATAGACTTTGAGGTGAAAGACAACTGTTCTCTTTTTGTTTTAATATATATTCTATTAGCATTTAACTTTAAAGAATGATTGCTAGTCATACGTTATATTTGCACTCTCATCTTTATTTAAAGGTATTTTTTAATTAAGTTTGTGCAGCTAGGTAATAGCTAGATTAATTACTACTAATAATAATAATAGATAGCATTGGCTGAGTGTTTATTATAATACCAGGTATAGGTTTTGTTTGTTTGTTTGTTTGCTTTTGCTTTTTTGTTGGTTGTAGGCCTGGGTGCAGTCCCTCAGCTCTTCAGTTCAAAGCTAGTGCTCTCCCACTTGAGCCACAGTGCCACTTCCGGCTTTTCCTGTTTATGTGGTGCTAAGAAATTGAATCCAGGGCTTCATGCATGTGAGGCAAGCACTCTACCACTGAGCCACCCTCCCAGCCCCAATACAGTTTTGAGTGCAACTTACTTAGTTCTTAAAGCTGCATAAGGTTTTAAATAATCTTATTATCCCCCATCTTATAGATAAAGAACCTAAAGTTCCAACACATTAAGTAACTGGCTGTTGTAATTCAAACACTGCATCTAGTAAGCTAGTTATTTTTATTAAAATACTATGATTTGAGAAGTCTGTTAAATGTGATACAGAATGTTTATCTCATTTGGGCAGCAATTAAACCAAGTTTACCTAGTTAAATAAATACAACAAATATAGAAATATAAGTGTGAATGGGTGTAGGCATTTTATTATTTATTTAACTTTTAACAGTGAGTGATAATGCAATGAAAAAGATATCCATAGGTAAGTTGACATACTGATTGTGTAGATGATAGATGTCTCAGTTTCTCTTTTGGTTTTTTCAGGTAAGTATTCAAATCTTCACAGAGTCTCAAAGACAGATGAGATATGCAGATTTCTCAAGTTAATTGCTTTTAGTTTTATTCACTGAGCAAGTAGAAGGAAAACTAATTACTGTGATTATAGTGATTAGACTGAGGTAAGGTTAGGGCTCTGGGGATCTGTGGAAATACTAGTCCAGGGCTTCCTGACAGATAAGATAGGGGAGGAGATTTGGCTGTGGTGATGGAGGAGAAATTCAGAGGAGACTATGGGTGAACACACAGTCCTGTATTCTGGCTGGAAGCAAGATCGGGGAAAACCTGAAGGGCTCAGGTGTCAACTCACACTTCCTTTCACATACACCAGCTATCTTTTCCTCCCTTTTGCTGACTATTTCTTTATCTATAACATTGTCTGCCCTATAGTCCTTTTCCTCTTGCTTAGTTTTTATCTCTTTGTTTCCACACCACTGTGTGGATCCATCTCATCTTTTTTACAAATTGGATATATGTGGAATTAAGGTATACTCTTATTTTAAGCATTTATATACTTTATGCTTCTTTTATTTAGTTTAAAATCAGGTATTATGAACATTTGTAGGAGTTGTGTCATAGTGGAAAAACACTTGGTATTGGAACTATTGATGGAACTCTGGCTTTTACTATTTGCTAGTCATAACTTGACCATTCAAGCCTAAGTTTTCTCATCTTCAAAAGAATAATATGAATTCACAGCTTTCCTTTACTTTTACTAAATAAGAACAGTACAAATATATCTTGTACTATATAAGAAGATATATATTTTCATTTTCTCCTCTTTCCTCAGCTAAATAATACAAGTGGGTTTGGTTACAATACTGAATTTTGTATATGTGTGTGTGTCAGTATTAGGGCTTGAACTCGGGACCTGGATACTGTCCCTTAGCTTTTTTGCTCATGGTTGACACTCTACCACTTTAGCCATTACTGTACTTCCAGGTTTTTGCTGATTAATTAGAGACAGGCATCTCATGGACTTTTCTACCCAGGCTGGCTTTGATCTGAGATCCTCAGTTCTTAGCCTCCTGAGTAGCTGATATTATAGGCATAAACTACCAGTAGCCAGCTTATAACTCTGTATTTTTATGTTTGCTTTAGATTTAGTTGGACAGTGACCATGAATATGAAAAATGGCCCCTACTGTTGGATTATGATCCTATTTCTATAGATTTACTACTGTCTTGCACATTCTCCTAGGAATAACCATATATTAGACTATTGCCAACATTGATTCCTTTGTTCACCTGACTTAGTTTATGAGATTAACCAAGTTCACAGTTGGTTATTGGAAGGAAGACCAAGGAAGCGACATTAGCTTACTTGCAAAAATGTGTTGTGTATCTCTGTGAGTTAGTGTTCAGCTACTGGGAGCAACTTTCCTTCCAACACCAAAGTATCCAGAAGTGGAGTTGTGGCTCAAGTGGCACAGCACTATCTTTGAGCAAAAGAGCCAAGGATAAGCATGAGAGCCTGAGTTCAAGCCCCAGTATCTGCATACATACACGCACACACACACAATTGTAAGATCAAAACATCCACATAAACTAATGATGGCTTGATAAAAATTTTCTTACCTTCAAAATTTATTCTAGACACATAGAGTATCACCATCCCATTTCTTGATTCTTTGGTAATACTAGGAATCCCCTTCTGTCTGAGTACCTTGACTACTAGGACTGACTGTTTCCCATACTTGGTTGCATGCAAGTTAGTTGATAGGTAGGTAGGCAGAATGTAGGAATAAGAATGAGAGATCAAAGCATAGGATAAGGAATTGGATTAAAAGAAAGTATCTTAAGACACATCAATGAGCCATTTTTCTTAGGGAATTTGTATATTGTTTAGAAGACTGCGTAGACTACTCTGAATCACTTTAATAAGTGATACAATTAGGCTCCTTTGAAGAGAACAAGAGTCATTTGACTAACATTTCTGATATGCTTTTATAACTAGGAAGAAAAGTTATTATTTTAGGGATGGATGGGCTGCAGTTCTTGCCAGATAACTTAGGAGAATAGAACAAATATTCCTAATGAAGGGAAAAAAAACCCTTGCTGGGTTTTCTGTCAGACTCTCCAGACAGTGTCTGAAAGGAAAAGACTGAAAGAAAAAGGCTTAGATTCCTTTTGCAGGGTAAAGTAACAGAAATGTGAGAAATGTCTTTCCTGAGAAAGAATGATGAAATAGGAAGTAGGAGAGAGATTAGAGAAAGGTTTGGAGCAGGGAAAGGATACAAGGAAGGAGATCAGGAGAAAGATAATCAACAAGACTGTGCAACTTTTAATACAGTAACATAAAACATCATGAATCAAAATTCATCTGTATGAGCTGTGTTTACTTTTTATCCTTCAGCCTTTTTTAGGAGTACTATGTGTTAATAGTATTAATTGTATATATTGAATGAAGGAGGCTAGCAACTTTTCTATGCTTGGGAAAAACAGCATGTTGAAGAGATAAAAAACAGACAAACAAGATCATTAGTAGAGATTGAAAGTCTGTGGTTGCTGGAATTTGGAGACTAGAACCTATGGTTCGGCAGTAGTGACTAACTTAGGAATCTGTGTGATAAATCCATCTATGAAGAATCCACAGGAGAACTGGGAAGGTGGCTCAGTGGTAGAATGCTTGCCTTGCATACATGAGACCCTTTGTTCGATTCCTCAACACCACATAAGCAGAAAATCCAGAAGTAGTGCTGTGGTTCAAGTAGTAGAACCCTAGCCTTGAGCTGCAGAGCTGAGGGACAGTGCCCAGGCCCAGAGTTCAGGCCCCACAACTGACAAAAAAAAAGAAGAAGAAGAAAAAAGAATCCACAGGAGTCAGTGGTGCAGGCCTGTAATCCTAGCTACTAATGAGCCTCAGAGCTGAGGATCACCTTGAGACTCTTATCTCCAATTAAACATGGAAGTGGAACAAGCTCAAGAGGTAGAGCACTGGCCCTGAGTGAAAAATCTAAGGGACAGGGCCCAGGCCCTGAGTTCAAGCTCCAATACCAGTACAAAAAAGGAGAGTGGTCTGGTGGGGTGGGGACAATGCTGGAGGATCCTACTTGTGTGACTAATGGCTGGTTAAAGCAGATCTTTAAGTCTAAAATAAATCTCACTGCTTAGCCATAAATTTGTATCTAATCCTTTAAGCTTTAAGTTTGTTGACAAACTTAATCATGTCAATATATTATAAGCTGGGGAAAAAAAGAAACAATGAAAAAGACTTAATGGAAGAAACGGCATGGCTTCTGATTTTGTGAGCTCAGTATCAAACCAAGGGCCGTGTCTTCTGTAGTTTGGCCACTATTCAAGACAGGTCTTTAGATTCCTTGATGTTTCTAAACACAAAGTGTGTGAGATTGGGGCTGGGAAGGTGGCTCAGTGGTAGAGCGCTTGCCTTACATGCATGAGGCCCTGGGTTCGATTCCTCAGCACCACATAAGCAGAAAAAGCTGGAAGTGGCACTGTGGCTCAAGTGGTAGAGTGCTAGCCTTGAGCTGAAGAGCTGAGGGACAGCACCCAGGCCCCATGAAAAAAAAAAAAAAAAAAAAGTGTGTGAGATCAAGGGATTAATAAATGTAAAACTGTAAGAGGCAATGCTTGTACTTTAAAGGTAAGCATGCCTTGCAAAACTAAAATGAATACAAAGTCCACTATTGCAGCTACAGAAAATAGCTCAAAGAAGCAGAAATCCCTGTGATGATAGCTTAAAATGGTGACTTGCTGTTGTCAGTTTAGAACAGATTCCCACACAAGAGTGTGTAAGAAAATTTTATTCTAATTAAGAATGAAAATGAACACTCAGAAAAAAAAGTACTCTGAAATGGCATCCCAGGAGGCTTATTTTTTGTTTTTTTTTTTAGCTTACATTAGTTACATATTTCATTGTTTCATTTCCTACATGTTTATAGTATAGTCCAATCAGCCTTACCCTCTCTATTACTGTATGTTTCCCCCTTCCCAAAACAATTGAAACTATGAAAATTGAAATTGTTATAGGAGTCTGTTTCTATAGATAAAAAGAACAAAAAGGTTAGAGCAAACCAGTGGTTACAGTTGCACTTGTTGACAAGAACATTATTCATGGTTGTTGCTCATATACATTATTTATTTCAAGAAAGATATAGTGATAAGCAGGGATTTGGCATTCTCCAGCCTATTTATTACTCTAATAAAGTCACCTCTGTATAAGAAAATACAATGGAACCATTACAAGTTAAAATTAACCAGATTTTCAGACCTGAGAATCTCATGAGGCCATGACTGCTTTCCCTGGTATAACTCCCCGACATGATAGTTTATAGACCCCAGAAACTTTATAGCTTCAATGTGTTGGGAAAAAAAAATCACTGCCTGATTAGCTTCCCATTAAGCTATTTAATAGTTCTCTTGAAGCCGGGTGCCAATAGCTCACGCCTGTAATCCTAGCTACTCAGGAAGCTGAGATCTGAGGATCTTGGTTCAAAGCCAGCCTGGGCAGGAAAGTATGTGAAACTCTTATCTCCAATAAACCACCAGAAAAACTGGAAGTGGCACTGTGGCTCAGGTGGTAGAGTGCTAGCCTTGAGCTGAAGAGCTGAGGGACAGCGCCCAGGTCCAGAGTTCAAGCCCCACAGCCGACAACAAAAAAAAAAAAATAGTTCTCTTGAGATTTTAAAATGTTTTTGTCCTCTGAAACCCTTTTTTTTTCATCTGTAATTAAAGTAGCCTTTCATTTTTGGTTTTATTACTATAAATATGAGACCAGCTGGGAGTCAGTGGCTCATGCTTGTAATCCTCGATACTCAGGAGGCTGAGATCTGAGGATCATGGTTCAAAGCCAGACTAGGCAAGAAAGTCCGTGAGATTCTTACCTCCAATAAACCACTTAAAAAACCAGAAGTGGTGCTGTGGCTCAAGTGGTAGAGCGCTTGCCTTGAGCTAAAGAACTGAGGGAGAACACCCATGCCCAGAGTTCAAGTTCCATGACCAACAAAAAAAAAAAAAGAAATGAGACCAAAATTATAAAATCTTAAGATATAAACTTTCATTTAGCAATTTGAAATGTTATATGCATAGGTCATTGATTGTGTTAAGTTGTTTATACAAATAGTGCACAATCTCAACTAGGGAAATACTATACCGTAAGTGGAATCTTATGTTATATTATCCTATCACCTTTTAAAACTAATGATGTCAAGCTTCAATAGTGTACTACATAATTTATGCGTTATTAAAATGATATTTGGCATTAGGCATTTAATCAGAAGCAAAGCCTTTTAATTTTTATATATTTAAGACAAGGCCATTTCTGTTTGCCCCTACCATACTTGTTAAGGAATGTGATCTGCCATAAGGATAAAAACTATTCATACCACATATAATGTAAATGTTTTGTTTACATAGTCCTTCCACTTTTGGGAGATCCTTTCTCTCCCTCATCAGCATCGTTAGGGTGAGAACAGCCAGCTAAACACATAGCTGACCAGCCTATGAATAGACATATGATCAAAGCAAGAGTAGAGTTTTTCTGCAAGGTTTCTGGACCTAGATCTAAAACAGAACCTTCAGTGTCTAACCCAGAGATAAAGATATTTGAAGCAGAAGAAGCCAGCTGCAGAAAAGACAAGTATGAAAACAGTATGAGAGGAGCAGGTGTGACTCCTCCCATCCACACTAGTGGAATTCAATATGGAAATTTAATTTCTTGTAAGAATTTTTAAGAGCAGCTAATTCTGAGCTATGTTGTAGTTGGGTTCTCAAAATCTTTCCTAATGGCAATCTATTAGTTTAATTTCAAGTTTAGCGCTTGGCATAAGTCTTTGCTAATCCATCCACTGAACACTGATCACCCTTGTACACTGCTGTGCCTATTCTAGCTCCTACTGTTAAAATTCACTACAAATGTTTACTTCTGAGTCTTCTTTCCACACAGAAGTCTCAACAAGAATAGAGAAGTCCCATACTTAAGTGGCTAGTCTTCTTTTTTTTGTTGTTGTGGTTAAAGTATTGTCTTTGGTTTCTGTTGCATAACAGAATAATGCAGACTGGATAATGAATTAATAAAAGGACTTTATTTGACTCGTGGTTCTAGAGGCTGGAAAGTTCAGGAACATGACACCAGCGATTGCTTGGTATCTGGTGAGGCACTAGACTTTTATCAGTTCATGGCTGAAAGCAGAAAGGAAGTAGCTACATTTGGAAGAGAATAAAGGGAGCCTAACTCCTGAGTTAGCAAATCCATCTGTGAAAAAAAAAACCATCAATCCATACTTAAGGGCTATGCCCTTATGACCCACTCACTTTTCCTCAGGTCTGCCTTCCAACACCAACAACTTGGTCTTATGAGTTTTGGTAGGAACAAACTATATCCATGCCATTAGCAGAGCTAGTTTACAAACAGTTCCATTCACCCTTTATAAAAGTGTATGCTTCTGTGATGCACTAAATAGTGCCCACTCCCCAAAATTCTACATCCTTTTCTTCACTGCTCCCCCCCCCACACACACATGCATACACACACACTGGTACTGTGGTTTGAACTCAGTGCCTCACACTTACTAGGCTAGCACTCTCTAAACTTCATTCCCAGCCTCAGCAGTTATTTCTAATTGTTTCCCTCATTTTCTTTTTCCCATTTGATTTTTGGTACTTTTATATGCCATTCACTCATTCTTTTGATCATTAATTGTTTACATCTGATCTGATCTTTTTTAAATGTGCCAGCTAATAAGTACTTCAAAAGACTTGGGATCTGATTTGTTATATTGTATGTAATCTTAAAATTTTTTGGTCATTTCTAGATATTGCCTTATTACATCAAAGTATTTTGGAGATTTTCTTTTCTTTCTTTTTTTTTTTTTTTGTTGGTCATGGGTCTTGAACTCTGGACCTCAGCCCTTCAGCTCAAGGCTAGCACTCTACCACTTGAGCCACAGCACCACTTCGAGTTTTCTGGTGGTTTATTGGAGTTTATAAGAGTTCCATGGATTTTCCTGCCCAGGCTGGCTTTGAACCACGATCCTCAGATCTCAGCCTCCTGAGTAGCTAGGATTACAGGTGTGAGCCACTGGCACCTGGCCGAGGATTTCTTTTTCTTTTAGTGTCTCCCCCCCGCCCCACCATTTTTTTTTTCTGGTTACTTCTAGGATTTGAGGGTTGCAGAAGACTGGTTTTGAAATAGACTTTTGTATGAGAAATGAATAATTACTTAGATTACATATAACTGAGAGATTATTATTCATCTTGTATCTGTTTCACTTTTTTCTAATCTTTTCCTTTGTTTGGGGAAGTGGTCCTTGGTAGCAGACTTGTTTTTGTTAGCAATAGGGGGCTTTCTTTGCCTTTGCACACATTTACAGATGGGTGAGAAGAATGTTCTTCTCTGTGTAAAAGTTGGATTTGGTTCTGTTCACTGGAATGCCGTATGGAAATGTTCTGTGGCATTTTACTGGGAGGTATGAAAAACACACTCTTAGAATATTTCAAAGAGAGTTGATATTTACAGTATTTTACGGTGGAATCTAGAAAGACTTGAACACCCCAGGTGATTGCTTTAAATTAAAATTTCATTTATATTTACAGCTATGCTTGTTTTGTACAACAAATCTAGCCTAACATGGTATAAATGAAATTATGTAGTATGAGCATTTTTCCTTTAGGATTTTTAAATTGAGAAAAAGTGATTCTGAAATTTGTTTTAGTTACGTTTGATTTTCTTGTGGTACTGGAGATTGAACCCCAGAGCTTTACCTTTGCCCTGAAAGCATTCCAGCACTGAGCTATATCCCTAGCCCCTAAAGTGTCTTTAGAAAAGTTTGTGAGATTCTTATCTCCAATTAAGAAAAAAAAAAAGCCAGAAGTGGAGCTATAGCTCAAGTAATAGAGTACCGGCCTTGAGCTAAAAAGCCCAGGGACAGAGCCTAGGCCCTGAATTTAAGACCTACTACCAGAAGAAAGGGGGTTAGGGGGAACCACAAGGAGAGAAAGAGAGAGGAGGTATGTTGAAGAACCTAATGAAAGAATATAGTATGGCTGCACTTGAATTTCTTGCTAGCTATCTCTGTAAAGTGAAAATGCTTTGAAATCGAGAGAATAACTGGAAGAATTGTGTATGTGTGTGCATGTATGCGTGTGTGTGTGTGTGTGTGTGTGTGTGTGTGTGTGTGTACATGTGGTGTGCTAATCATGGGGCTTGAACTCAGGCCTGAATACTGTCCCTGAGGTTTTTTTGCTCAAGGTTTGCATTCTACCACTTGAGCCACAGCTCTACCTCCACCTTTTGGCTGGTTAATAGGAGATAAGATCTCATAGACTTTTCCTGCCTAGGCAGGATCTCAACCTCATGTGTGGCTAGGGTTACAAGTGTAAGCCACTAGCACCTAGCTAAGAAGCTCTTTTGTAGTTCAGTTGAAAGATGAAGGTCAGAACTAGGACCATACTGATTCAGTAGGCAATGGCATTCTTACCCTTATTGTCCATATAATAAGCCAAAGTTCAGTTCAGAGCTTCAGGGAAACTGGGAAGGAGTAGCATCCATTCTTACAGACTTTGTGTTTAAAAGTACAGCATATGAAAAGATATGAAAATAGTAAACTAATGAGATTGCATTTTACAAAGGATGGTACTAACTCTTCATATGTGTTTTACATTCCATAACAGTTCATTCATTTATAATATACAATTTAATGGTTGTTTGTTTCTTTAACAGGGAAAAAAAGATGTGACCCAGATATTTAACAACATCCTGAGAAGACAGATAGGCACTCGCTGTCCTACTGTGGAATACATCAGTGCTCATCCTCACATCCTCTTTATGCTCCTCAAAGGGTAGGTGCCTGGTTCCTTCGAAGTAGGGTTTGAGTTTAAAATAGTTGTTTAAAGTGTATATAGCATTAGCCTTATTGGCTATGGTCAATTTCCCTTTGAAATTACAGGACAGTTATTTGCATTATTTGCCATGTTTGAGACCAGCCCCTTCCAGCTCTATATCTCTAAGATTACTTAGGCTGCAAGGCAATCTTTCCTTTTACTTTTGTATTTATAAGTGTTACATGTTTTCACTTACTACCTCTCTTTCCTCCACTTTCTGCTCGCTTTCTATTCTATACTGCTTTTGATTTCTTCTACACTTATTACACACACAACTACACACGCACTCAATATGCATAAGAATTCTTTCAGTAGCTAGCATCTGGCAGGGTGTCCCGCTTCTTCATGGAGGTAGAATAAATATAAATGGAAAAACTGGAATCAGACTAAGAAGCACTTTCCATGCCCCACTGAGGACTTCAGTTGTTATTCTGTAGGTACAAGGGAGCCACCTGAGGATGAGACCCTTTAGTGACAGTGTGGAAAATGGCTTCAAGGACAATAGCTGTGACTCCAGATAAGAAAAATCCAAGGAAGAGATAATTTGGGTCAAATTTTAGTGATGATATTGGGAACAAAGAGAGTGGGTACTTTCAAAACATTTAAACTTTAGAAAAAAATACATGTTTACATTTTTAAGCATTTTAGAATGTTCAATAAAAAGAGAATGAATCTCATAATCTTTCCCAATGAAATCATTAGTAACAATTTGGAGACTATGCTTCTGGTTTCTCTTCTCTATTACAATGATTACTCATCTGTTTTTCATCCAAACTTTTAACTCATTCTTTCATACCATTTTGTATATACCATTTATTTAGGGCTTGCTTTGTGCCATGTATCCAGTATCTTCATTTATTTGTAGCATTCTGTCTTTCCAATAATACTCTGAAAACTAGGTATTATTCTTACCCTTTTACAGATGAGAAATTGAAACTCAAAAGACCATAATAAGGATATTGCTCAAGGTTATAAAGCTAAGAAGTACCAAAGCCACATTTCCAAGTCTCACCATTTTTATTGTTTTATTGTTATTTCTTTTTCTTTCTTCCTTTCTTCCTTCTTCCTTCCCTCCCTTCCTTCCTTCCTTCCTTCCTTCCTTTTTTTTTTCTGATTCTGGGGCTTGAACTCTAGGCCCAGGTACTGTCCCTAAGCTTCTTTTTGCCTAATACTTGTACTGTACCACTTGAGCCACAGTGCCACTTCTGGGGTTTTCTGAGTGGTTTATTGGAGAAAAGAGTCTCATATACTTTCCTGCTTGGGCTGGTTTTGAGCCGTGATCAGCCTCCTGAGTAGCTGCAATTACAGGTGTAAGCCACAAGCACCCAGCTTCTGTTAGTGTATATTTAAGATAATTTGAAGGCCCTATGGATGTTAAGGAAGAGGGAACCATTGATACTCCTGTGGACCAGAAGACCCCAAGCAGCCCTAATAACAACAGCTACATGGAATACTGATTAACTTCTTGTGAATCTCCTTGAAAACTTTGGACATAAGTATCTTGGTACATTTACACATTAATCAATAGTGTTATTTAGGAGTATAATAACATACTATATTGAGCTCAGGTTTAACTATAAAGTACATGAGGCCTGTTTAACAGGAATATGTGATATAAAACGTGGAATGAAGATTATGTGATATAAAACATGGAATAAAAAATGAAAAGGTCTTTCTCATCCTTAATGAATTTGTCTCCTGGCTTACGCAAATGATACTGCAGGGTAATGAAAGAACATGAGGATGAGGTCATTAAACTTCTCTCAGTGATCCATAAAGAACCATGGCCAGTAGAAGATGTTCCATAAGTGTAATGTCAGAATCATAAATAATCATAATAATCATAATAATCCTGTTTTTTAGAAGTTCATTACAAAATTTTCAGCTATAGACAAAAGTAGTAAATACAAGAAACCTCATGAACCCCTCTCACTCAACGTTTGCAACCATCAGTATTTTTTTGTTTTGTTTTGGTCCAGTCGTGGGGCCTGAACTCTGTTTGTTTCATCCCTCTCCCCAATGCACCCATGTGCTGTTTATTTTTCCTCTGGCTGAAGATAATTATTATATAACCACAAAATTATTACTATGCTTATTATTTAATAATAATTCTATAATCCCCAATACATAGCCCATGCTCAAACTTCTTTGATTGCTTAAAAGATTAAAAACTCAGCTGAGTGCTAGTGCCTCATGCCTATAATCCTACTACTCAGGAGGCTGAGATTTAGAGAACTGAGGTTTTAAGCCAGCCAAGGTAGAAAAGCCCATGAGATTTCATCTCCAGTTAACCAGCAAAAAACTGGACTTGAGAACTTTCTCAAATGGTATAACACTTGCTGAACAAACAAGGCAAGCAATACTAGTCCCTAAGTTCAAACCATGGTACCTACAAAAAAAGGAAGGAAGGGAGGGAGAGAAAGAAATTGCTACCTAAGAAACTTCCACTGATGTTCAATAAATTTTATTTCTCTTTCATGCACACATATACCTAACACCATGTTCTCATGTCTCATTTAATTGTATACATTTTCTTTGTAATGCACATTTGACTCTCTGGGGTCCCTTGGATAATGTCTTTTGACCTCACATTGTTTTCTGGTGCAGTAAGATATACTCAACCCTATTTAAATAGATCTGGTTCTTTTTGGTAAGAAATGATTCTTAGAGACTATAATCTGGAGTCTTAGGAGTACTTATTGACATTGAATTGTTATTGTTTCTAGGCCTTTTCAGTTGAAAAACTTAACTCATTTTTTAGAATAAAATGTTTCTAGATTAGAAGCAGACCTTCTCTACTTTTGAATAGGCCAAGAATTAGTAAATGGCATTTTATGAAAGTTTTCCAAATACTGTCTATCATTGTTTGCTCCCAACAATAGTAACAAAAGTCATTTCCCCTTACATAATACAATCTTTGTTCTTAAATGGGAATGTTCTTGCACAAGATCTTTCTTCTAGCCATTTTCTGTGTAATGATTACTGTAGCTTGCTGCTAGCTGAGACATTTGCTATTATATTCTGGCTTTCATTAAGTTTATAAAGGATCTTCCAGCATGCCATCATATGAGTAATGTGCTTTCTCTATATTTACACAATTAATTACAGCCCACACTATATTAGCCAAATTATAAATCAGGAAGGAGGATGTGATTCAGTTCTATAAAAGAGTGACTCAATTTCTCATCAGATTATCCATAACTGGCCATCTGCCATAGGTAGTCATTGTGGGAAATAGTGATTAGTCATAGTTTTCTTTCACTAGGAAACTAATCTGTCAGTAGACTAGATTAGGTAAAATACTGATTCTTTACCAGAACTAAGAATGGTAATATTAGCAGGACTTAAAACTTAGGATGGGTTAATTTATGGAGCACATATTTGTATTATATGCAATAACCTGTTAAATGTCAGTATCCTAGAGAGCTGTCAAGTTGAGAAGATAAATTCCCTTAAAGTGTATTTGAGAAGTCAGTGATTTCCCTATGTATCCCAGTGTATTCCTAACTTTAAGAAGTTGTCATGGTAGAGAATGAAGACAAATCCCTGAGATAAACTGGTAAGTATTTTGTCCCAGAGGAATAGTTTTTTTTTAATGTTCTTTTGGTCCTCAATATAAATTTTCAGTGCATCACAGATGGTTCCAATAAACTTCACCAAATGGAAGGAAAAAAGAACTAATTATACCAAAACTTGGAGTGGAAAATTTTTATAGATGGTCTCAGTTTGAAAACTGAATTCAGAAATGAGAGACATTGGCTAGGGATCATGCAGCTTTTGTTTAAGCCAAAGTTTGACTCATTAGAGTCCTCTAGTACTAGGAAATTCAGTCAGAGTTTGAATTTAAACTGAATTCATTAAAAGCCTACTTTTGTGAGAAAACATTAAGGCTAGCCACTCTGGGGATGGGGTAATGATGAAGAAAGGAACAATAAATAAGACATAGGTACCAAATGGGAATGGGAGAATGAATGGATAATGGAAAAAGTTACAGGATAGGTAAAACACATCCTCAGCAACTAATTTGTTTGGAATGAAGTGAAGGAAACAGACTTGTAACATGCCATACTAGAGAAAGAGAAAAGTGCTGAAGTAAAATTACAAGCTGTGTGGGAATGTGAACAAATAAAAATAATCCTGAGCTGGGCTCCAGTGGCTCACTCCTGTAATCCTAGCTAATCAGGAGGCTGAAATCTGAACATCGAGGTTCAAAGCCAGACTGGGCAGGAAAGTCCATGAGATTCTTACCTCCAGTTAACCACCAGAAAACCAGAAGTGGTGCTGTGGCTTAAGTGGTAGAGTGCTTGCCTTGACCTGAGTTCAAGCTTCATGAAAAAAAAAAAAAAAAAAAAAGAATCCTGAATGATGGATGATTACAAAGATGTCAAGTAGAAGACATTTGAACTTAAGCCTTGAAAATGAGAGGTCTTAATGGTGGATGCAGATGAAGGCATTCCATTAAAGGGAATGTCATACCCCAGGGAAATAGGGAATGTGATGGGAGGTGAAACAGAAAAGTTAGGTTTAGGACTACACTAGGAAAGTCTTATTAATAAGCCTGGATTTTAACTATACCTTAGTCTCTTTGTCTTGGTCAACAGCCTTTATTTTATAGTTTCTTAAATACATTATCAATGATTGACAGCATTTCAGAAAATACATCCTTTTTCCATCTTTCATTATATCCTTTTTTCTAATTATTCAATGTGTATGAGTAAGCTGTTTTTCCAATTCTATTGATAAGAAAAATTGCTCACACTATAAATTGGCATTCCTTATATTCTACAAAGAATGGTGTCTATCTGAATATATTAGCATTTAATGGTACTGTATGTTATTCCACAAGTATTCAAGTAATTCTTAGGATTATCATTCAGTTTAGGCAAGACAAAAGTGAATATATACTACCATGGTGCCTTGTTTGCTATTGCCTCTTCTGATTTTGTAAAGCAGGAGAGTAAAGTAGCCTGTTTCTTAAATTGTAGGAAATCGATTTTATTCTTGAGTCTGAATTTCATGCAGATACTATGAGGAACATAACTTTTTTTTTGAAAATGCTAAAAACAAGGGTTACAGTTATATAAGTCAGGAAAAGAGTCTATTATTCATTATTGTTCAGCAAAACGTTATTGCTAAGTAACAAATCATTTTCAAGCACATTTCAAGTTTGTTTTTTTGTTTTTAAATATTTGATTTTTCCCTATTAAAAGGTAATCTTAATTCTTTCTGTTGGTATTTTACTATTTTGAATAATTCATACTAAATTTGAAAGATCCTTATGAGTGTTATGACCTTTTCAAGGATTTTTGAGACAAAGTTACAGTGTTCAATGAGCCATGTACTAATACCATAAAAATGAGAATTGTAATTTAATTGTAGTGTAAATGATTTGATCTTTCTAAAAACTTGATCAGGGTTTTTTAAAAAGTCTACTCAGTTTTTTTTTTTTACTACTGTAACTTCTTTTGTTCTATTCTTCCTTAATTTGTCACACAATTGTCAATTGTATCATTTCAATATGGGGCTTGTCTTTATTTAGGCTAAAAATTGTTCATTTCCCTGAAATCTTATAACACTGAAATGTGACTCAGGCCTAGATTGACTTTGATATTGAATTTGACATTTGAGAGACTGTCATTAATTAGAAATGGAACAGATCTAGTGTGCCAGTCCTGAACTGTTTCCTATAACAAATACTGGGTCTTCTACAGTAGTTTTGCAATGATACCAATGAACCTATCTATCAGTGGAAAACTTTTTACTGGTCTGTTGGTCATATTTACAAGTCTTCCTTGTCTTTTCCTGAACTCCAGATGGATATACTTTCCTGTCTTCTGGAGATATTATTTCTTAGAATAAGCCATCTCAAAGTTAATATACTCAATAGCATTTCTTATTTCTTTACTAATCCATTCCTCTGCTAGCTTATTCATATTGTTAAATGGCACCACAATTTACTCAATTATTCAAGCTAAAAGCAAGGAATTATTCTTTTTTTTTCTTTTTTTTTATTGTGAAAATACCGTACAGAGGGGTTACAATTACATGGGCAAGATAATGAGTACATTTCTTATCAAGCATTGTAGCCTCCTCCTTTGTTTCCCCTTCCCATCCCTTCCCATCCTCCCCCCATCCCCCAACCCAATCCTCCCTGCTCCCTCCCTTCCCCCCCCCCACCAAAGTTGTAAAGTTCGTTTTTGACATAACGACTTGTACATCTCATTGTGGTAACGGGTTCACCTGTATCCCTATTTAAACGATTTGTTCTTCCCCTTCCCCTCCACAAATTATACCAACATCAAAGCAGGGGTTATACTGTGGGGGAGGGACATACAAAGCAACAAAGAAATAATCTTATATAAATGTGTTAGAAACAATCACAAGAAAGAAAAAAAATTTGAATACATATCTTAGGGTTCATTTCCCTAACATCACCTTATCTGACCTTTTCTGCTTGACTCAGACATATACTAGATATTGCAAATAAGGGAAACCATGGGACCTATGTTTCTTTGGGCCTGGCTTACTTCACTTAATTTAATTTTTTCCAAGTCTTTCCCTTTCCTAACAAATGGGGCAATGTCATTCTTTCTGATGGAGGCATAGAATTCCATTGTGTATATATACCACATTTTCTTGAATTGAGTTTCCAAGTTTATTTCCTGCCCAACTCTCCCTCCAACATCAGCACTTGTTGGTTCTTCCTCCAGACAGTATCCAGCATGTGCCCACAGCACTGTGTTCTGCTGCCACCCCTCCTCTGAGTTGCCATTGCTATTGCTAAGCTTCTGTTACTCACCTACCTCATCTCCAAATTCCACTCAGCTCCCCAGCCCACTTTGTGTTCATTACAGTTCATTTTCCACATGTAGTTCTGCCCTGCCCTTCCTTTGCTGTAGTGCAGGGAAAGGAACCCAGACTTCCATTCATGGTAGACACGTTACAGCACTGAGCTATATCCTCAGCCCCAAAGCCATTAGGTTGAGTTAATTTCTTGCTTTAAACTCTCCAAAGGCTTCCTATCACTCTTAAAATAAAACCAAACTGCTTATCTTGGCTTACAAACCTGAGTATGATCTCACTTTGCCCTGCCCTACCGTGCACTGTCTTCCTCTTTAGCCTGCTGTGACACTACTCACTACTGTAACCTATATTCCACCACGCTAACTGTATTTCTTTTTTTTCCAACTCTTGCTTGTTTTTGTCTTATAGCCATTGTACCACTACCTAGAACACTTTGCCCCTTCCCTTGACATTTGAATAAAATAAAATTAATTTGAGTAAAATAAAAATTAAAGGATCACACACACATAACTTACATACTTGCATTCTGTAATATTACCCAGTTTGTCTTCAGTCTTCACAACACTTTTTTTTTTTTTTTTGGTCAGTCGTGGGGCCTGAACTCTGGGCCTGGGTGCTGTCCCTCACTTTTTCAGCTGTAGGCTAGCGCTCTACCATTTGAACCTCAGCCCCACTTCTGGCTTTTCTGCTTATGTGGTGCTGAGGAATCGAACCCAGACTTCATGCATGCAAGGCAAGCACTCTACCACTCAGACACCTTCCCAGCCCCTTCACAACACGTTTGAATGCATAAAACTAATTTACATTGTTTATATGCATCCTCTTCATCCCACAAAATGCTCTGTCCTCACTAAAATAGGCAGGCTGTGATGACAATGACCTTGGCCTGGTTGCTGTTATATCTCAGTGTCTGGAGTAGTGCCAGGCACATTACAGATAATGGGTGTTGAATGAGTGGTGTCTGAATGAGCTGTAACAAATAGTATCTGTTTCCATTAGCAGCAGTATTGAAATGGTCCTTTTGAAATCATTGATGTTATTTTGTTAATCAGATAACAAGAGTTCTTTGTTTCTACCTTGTTTATGCTTTAGATATGAAGCCCCACAGATTGCCTTACGTTGTGGGATTATGCTGAGAGAATGTGTTCGATATGAACCACTTGCCAAAATTATCCTCTTTTCTGATCAATTCAGAGATTTCTTCAAGTATGTGGAGTTGTCAACATTTGATATTGCATCAGATGCCTTTGCTACTTTTAAGGTAATTTTTTTTCTGAATGAAATAGGTCATTTAGCTTCTGAAAAGGCAATTTAATTTTAAAAGGAAAAAAATTCTCTTCCTTAGGCATAGTTGTGGCCAATCACATGTGACATGGATCATAAGAGGCACCAGTAAATGAATTGTAGCCTGTGAGGCTAGTCTGTCACATGGAGAAACATAAGCTCATATGGAAAGCATTCTAACATAAACTTTATCTATGTGAAAAGCAGATTAAAGAGTATAAGCTTCTATATGAGATACATATGCACAGTATACTTCTGAAAGGATATAGGAAGCAGCAACAGAAGTTACTTCCAGGGAGAGGAACTTGGTAGGAAGAGGAGAAAGAGAATTACAGTTTAGAAGGTAGAGAAACTTGGTAGGAAGAGGAGAAAGAGAATTACAGTTTAGAAGGTGGAGGCCATCACATTGTCTTGTCACTGTACTTGTTAAATTTTCACAGGGCTAAACACAATACTAAAGAATTATGTTGGTTATCTTGCCCATGTAATTGTAACTCCTCTGAACGGTATTCTCACAATAAAAAATGAAAAAAATAAAGAAGAATTATGTTGGGGGCTGAGAAGGTGGCTCAGTGGTAGAGCGCTTGCCTTGCATGCATGAGGCCCTGGGTTTGATTCTTCAGCACCACATAAGCAAAAAGAAAAAAGCCGGAAGTGGCGCTGTGGCTCAAGTGGTAGAGCGCTAGCCTTGAGCTGAAGAGCTGAGGGACAGCGCCCAGGTCCAGAGTTCAGGCCCCACGACCGAACCCCCCAAAAAAATAAATAAATAATTATGTTGGCATTTTGATAGTATGACTGGTTATCTCTGTATATTTGTATTTGATGGTGCAGATAACCATAATCATCTATACAATTATCATCTGTAATCTACTTTGGCATGTAGGAAACACACATACAATTTATTTTTTAACTTAAAATGTTTAATTATGGTACAATAAACATAAATTTTACCATCTTAATAATTTTCAGTGTATAGGTTAGTATTCACTGCTGGGTATATAATCTCCTGAACTTTTTCATCTTACCAAATTAAAGCTCTATGCCCTCTAAACAACTTTCCATTAACCCCTCCCTATAGTCCCTGGCAACCATTACTATTTCTGTTTCTATGTATTTTACCATCAAAAGATATTCAGAGCTCATATCAGAAAAATGTACAGCTAATATTCAAAACTTACCAGACTTACATATCCAGTGAATATTATCTTCAAGTTTCCTATTTTAGAACAATATTTACTTATATTTGTGGCCCTACCATTTTTTAATGGGGCTTTAAACTTAGGACTTCGTGCTTTTGCTTATCTAACACTTGAGCCACATTCTGAGTTCCATCTTTTTGTTGGTTAATTGGAGATAAGAGATGTTGAGGAGTTGACTTCCATGGGCTGGCTTCCCACTTTGATTCTCAGATCTCAGCCTCTTGCATAACAAGGGTAAAGGGGTGAGCCACCAGTGCCTGTCTTAACACTTTTTTTTTTTTTGTCGGTTGTGGGGCTTGAACTCTGGGCCTGGGTGCTGTCCCTCAGCTCTTCAGCTCAAGGCGAGTGCTCTACCACTTGAGCTACAGCGCTACTTCCGGTTTTCTGGTGGTTTATTGGAGATAGGAGTCTCACGGTCTCTCCTGCCCGGGCTGGCTTTGAACCGCGATCCTCAGATCTCAGCCTCCTGAGTAGCTAGGATTACAGACGTGAGCCACCAGCGCCTGGCTCTGTCTTAACACTTTTTAATAGTTTTCCAGAGAAATGAGAAAGTGATGTGCAGTGCTTAAAACTGTATATCTGCAGGCTGGGATTTACTCAGGTGTCTTAAATCTGTTGTTGTTTTTTAAGTGTATTAGCTCATAGGGTCATATGTGTGAGAGAGTAGAAAGTAATAACAGACAAGAGATTGGAGTGAGACAGTGGAAAAAGAGCCTAAGGAAAAGGGAAAACTGATGGAAGGAAAGGAATTGAGCATGATCTGTGTGGTGGGGGCCCTGTGGGCTGAGCATAGAGATCTTTTCAGTGTAATAAGGATGGAGCAGTGGTAAGTGAACTCTGGCCTGTCAAGATTGGGGAGGCAGGTCTGCACAGCTGCTTGAAACACAATCTGTAAGGGAAACAAGGCCATCTTTAGAAATATAATGAAAATGAGGAAATTAAATGGCAAGAACTAGTGTCAAAAGGATACAGTGTAAGAATGATGGGAATATTGGAAGGCCATCCTGGTGGGGTGGGGAGATCCAAGGGACATGCTTAAGCAACTTCAGCTGGCCTAGGAGGAGGGTGCCAGTTAACCATGGCATTTCTGTTGTCACAAATTGGTGTCCACTTTGGAGGCAGTGCTGAATGGCCTGAGAGTAGAGAAGAAAGGTGCTACAGCACCATCCTTCCCCAGAAGTATCACTGAAAGTGACCAGCCTTGGAACTGGCCTGGATCAAGTGGTAGGACACCATCTTTAAGCAAAAGAAGCCAAGCAAGTATGAGAAGCCCTGGTTGAAGCCCCAGTATTGACACAACAAAACAAAAAGGTATTTAGTACAAGAAGCCAATTTCTTTGAGCAAAGAGTTTAGAGAGATTGGAGGTGAGGATGGGCACCACCTACTCCAACGTTCCACATGTTTCCATCCTGTCTGCCTGCCTCCTAGATTCTCCTTGAGATGAGGAGGGAGGAGGAAAGAACCCATGCCAGGAAGTCTTGGCAAGACAGGAAAGGACACAAGAGAGAAGTGAAGAAAGAGAGCTTCAGAGAAACTCAGTCTCAGTGGATGGGAACTGGCCATCAAAGATGGAAGGTGCCAGAAGAGTGAGGCAAGGCAGACAGACCTACAATTGTACACAGTGTAATTTGTTCAGGACTTACAGACTCAAGGAAGTGTGTCTTGGGCAGCAGCAAGAGAGGATTCCTGTAACCTAATACAGGATGAAGGGGTTTATATGTGAGCTAGACTAAGGTAGTATGCAGCCAACTGGAATGTACCTGGCCTTTCTCAAAAACTATTAACATATCCAACATCAATTAAACAGTCTAGGGGCTTGGCTGTCTATCTTAATGACTTTATTTACCCTATTGGGTTTGGGCTATAGGCCAAGGTCACCTGGCAGGCAGGATGGAGGTTTTGACCAAGATGTCTGTAGTCATGTTAAGCTGGAATCCAACAAGGGGTATTAAAGAAAAGGGAGTAGAAGGAAGGCCATAGCAGAGCAGAATGAGGAAAAGAGAGGAAAACACAGGGAGGAAAACCTAGGAATAAAGTCCAGGGTGTATGGGTGTGAGGCTGTGAGACGTAGGAGCCTAATCCATTTCAGACAGCTTAGTCTCACTGGCAATCACATATTGCACTTTGGCTACCCATCAACCTCCAGAAAAGGGGAAGCCAATGCTCAGTACATCAAACATGGCATTTAGCATAGGAAGACTGTTTCTACCAAAGTGCCTAATGCCTTAAAAATTGAGATGTTTTCTAATAACAGATATTGAGTCCTTCCACCCACCCCAAGTTTTTCTGTCCTTCCTGTTTGATAGCTCTTTGCTATCATGGCAACAAGTTAGCTCCTTTAAAAAAAAGAAAAAGAAAAATGTAAATAAGGTTTCATATAATTACAGGCATATAATAAGCTCTAATGGGGAAAATACATACTCAATGAATTATATGTATTTAAAAATAGCCCTGTTACCAGATGCATGACTCATGCCTATAATTTCAGCACTGAGGAAGCTAATGCAGGAGAATCCCAAGTTCAAAGCCAGCCTGTCCTACATATTAGGAGCCTGTTTCCAAAAAAGCGGGGGGAGGGAGGGGTGGAGATATTTTTGTTGTTTTGTGTGTGTGCTGGTACTGGCACTCATAACCAGGACCTTGTGCTCTTGCTTGGCTTTTTCCCACAAGGCTGAGGTTCTACTACTTAAGCTATATCTCCACTTCTGTGTAGACCCCTCTCTCAATAACAAGATTCTTTACAATCATCTCTTTTATCTCTCCCGCCAAGGACCTGTGTAATTGAATGGCTTGAATTCCTTCTCTTGGCCACCTGATTACCTATATGTCCCTGAGCGAAGTTAACCTTTGAGTTTCATTTTCTCCGTTTGTGAAATGAAGAAAATAATCCCTGTCTCACACAGTTGTTACAAAGATTAGAAATAATCCATCAAGTATAATAATGTTTGGTACACTACTCAGCAATTCACAAGCCCTTAGTAAGTGGCAACTGCTACTGGCTTGACAGTCTCATCCATCCCTGCGAATATCTGTCACTCTTCCCCAAGTTTCTCCTAAACAGATCTGCTAGAAATGTCAAGGTGAGATTTTACTGTAATTTTTATATAATTATTAAACTATGCATAACTTAGCCATATCCAATCAGAATTATTAAGTACTAGGATAAAAGAACACACTACTTCAAATACTATTAATTTGTTATTTTTTACTTATTTATCTATATGCTAGTACTAGGGCTTGAACCCAAGGTCTGGGCACAGTCCCTGAACTTTTTTGCTTAGGGCTAGCATTCTACTGCCACACTCTACTTGTAGTAGTAGTAGTTGTTGTTGTTGTTTGATGATTGACTAAAGATAAGAGTCTCATGGACTTTCCTACAAGGCTGGCTTTAAATCACTATCCTCAGATCTCAGCCTCCTGAGTAGTTAGTATTATAGCTCAGAGCCACTGGCACCCAGCTATGTTTGTTTTTTAACTCTTTTAAATTTGACCTTTTATTCTTGACCATTTTCTTATATATGATAAGGTTCTTCCAGTTTTTGCATATATATACTTATATATGTACATTTGAGGACTTATATATCTTATAAACACACTCAAACTGGGTATATGTCGCAGAGACAGACAGAGGGCTTCTCATATGTTGGTTATATCCATCATATATTTGTTGAAGGAATCCTACTTTATCATATGATATTTTCCTATTTTGGGTTTGGTATTTTTAAGTTATTTCTTTTTTTTTTCTTCTCTACACTCCTCCACCCCCTCCCCCCCTTGCTCTTGGAACTTGAAGGGTCTGGCTCTATTTGGGTCCTAACTCTGACTTGTCTCCTTTCTCCCTAGGACTGCACTAGTACACAAAGACCTTTCTAGACAGCAGTGATTAGTCAGTGCTCTGCTGCAGCTGTGGAAGTGCCCAGTCCTTACTCTGCACCTGATGATTGTAACACATGGAGAGCTCCCACAGTGTCTGTGGTAGCCTAGAATGTCAGCCCTTCTGCACCAAATTAGCTCAGAAAATCCCCAGTGCTGCTTAGTGTAAGAGCACCCATTTAGATAGTGTGAAGCCCTGAGTTCCAACAAAAATATCACCACTAAGAAAATAGCTGGACGTGGTAGCGCATGCCTATGATCCCAGCTATGCAGGAGGCATAGGTAGGAAGATCAGACCCCTAAATACCAATGATAATTACATAAAGTAAAATACAAAGACTGTAGCTGTGGCTCAGTGGTAGAGTTTTGCATCGCATTCACAAGCTTGAGTTCAGTGCCCAGCACCAAGGGAAAAATAATAGGTCAAAAATGCTTTGCCTTTTCTATGACGTTATATTGCGACGTACTTTTGGAATTTTTTAATTAAGTATGCATTAAAGTATAAGGCTTTATCTTGGGAAACATTTGAAAGATATTTTTCTTAATTAAATTCTACACAGCACCTCAACAGGATATTTAGCCTCTAAGCATACAAAAGGGATTAGGTCTTTCACATTAAGGTAAAATAAGGATATTACTAAGGCATGAGATAAACACCCAAAAGTTTCATGCTTTTGTGCAGTTTTCTGAAAGTTTGTATCTGTAATAAGATAGAAACAATTCACCCCATCTGTGAAAGGATGCTTTGTGACACTTAATAACTTGCACTATGCACTCAACAGAAAACAAACAGGAAATTTCTGAGATACCCCTGTTAAATGTCATTCCTGTATTTCCCAGGGTCCAAAGCACCTCCATTTAAGAGTGGTTAGGAAAGTAATGAGAAGTTAAATCCTCAAAAATATGTTAAACTTTTGAGGTAAAGTTTTACACTATTCACTTTTTTTTTTTTTAACGAGTGCTAGGCACAATCCTAGCTATTTGGAAAAAGAGAACAGAAGGGCTGAAGTTTGAGACCAGCCCAAGCAAAAAGTTAGTGTCCTATCTCAACAAAAAAGCTGAGCATAGTGGCATGAATCTGTGAACCCAGAAGGATCATTGTTTATAACTAGCCCAAGACAACATATGTGCGACCTTACTTTAAAAATAAACTAAAGCAAAAAGGGCTTAGAAATGTGTCTTCATTGGTAGAGCACCTACCAAGCAAATGTGAGGACCAAGTTCAAACCCGCTAGGAAAAAGAAGGTTAAGCCAGGCCTAATGGCTTGTACCTATATTCATTCCCAGCATGCAGGAGGCTGAGGTGGTTCATGTTCAGGAGTTTGAAACTAGCTTGAGAAATAGTAATACTTGTCTCAAAAAAAAATAGTTACTAGTGACATTTTTTAGCCTTACATTTTATTTTAATTTTTATTATAACTGTAATGTAGAGTTAATAGTTGAAGAATCATACTATAAATTCAGTTCTTCTGTGTCATATTTTACCAGTTACTTATTTCTATGATAAATCTAATAGTAATGGAAATTAACAACACTAGTTTAATAATGTATTGTTTGTTTAACCTGAAACAAACTTGTATTTCTCATCATAAACTACAATAAGAATGGAATTAATTTGGTGGTGTAAACAAAATACTCTTTGCAGCTTTTACATGTTTTAAATTAATGGATTTCTCAAAATATAGAAATAAAGACTTACTTTAAATTTTAGTTAACTGCATAAAATTTACTAGCCATAGTAATTTTGTTTTACTTGCTTGTTCTCTTTCTAGGATTTACTAACCAGACATAAAGTGTTGGTTGCAGATTTCTTAGAACAAAATTATGACACTGTAAGTATAAATCATTTTTAAGACTATACATCTTTCTTTCTTCCTTTTGTTATTAAGGAGTTGGCTGGGGTCCTTTTGTTACACTCGGATAGAAATTGTGAGTATGTGATGTAGAGTTCTTATAGTGTCTCTTATTCTTTTTTATTTTTAAATTTTATTTTATTGTAAAGATGCTGTACAGAGGGGTTACAGTTACAGGAATAAAGTAATGAGTACATTTCTTGTCAAGCATTGTTAACCCCCTTTTTTGTTTTTCTCCCACTATCCCTTTCCTCCCCCACTTCTCCCCCGCACCCAGAAGTTGTAAAGTTCATTTCCAACATAGTGTTTTGTGAGTATCATTGTTGCAATGGATCATCCTGTGTCCTTGTTTCAGCATTTTGTTATTCCCCTTCCCCTTCCCAAATTAGATAACTGTATATACAAGATGTACCAAAATCAAGTACAAGTATGTTTTCTCCACATAGGGGGGAGAACATACAAAGGAAACAAAAAAAATCACATAGTACATTAAAAACAACAACAACAACAAAGACCTCTTGTGTCCATATCTTGGGGTTCATTTCCCTTCACATCATCTTATATGGTCATATGTACATAGCTTTTGAATTTTCTGCTAATCTGATAAAATTATCCTAGATATATTATTTCCCTCATTATTGCAAATGAGGGAAACCATAGTACCTATATTTCTTTGGGTCTGGCTTAGTTCACTTAATATGATTTTTTTCAAAGTTTTCCCATTTCTAATGCTGTGTCATTCTTTCTGATGGAAGCATAGCATTCCATCATATATTAGTGTCTCCTATTCTGAGTCTGTGTGTGCCAAAGGCTTATGGACTATTTTGACAGACACAGAGGCTTGCAAGAGCTTCAAGCCCAAAAAGTTAGAGACTTAGGACTCCAGACCTTACAAGCAGAGAACTACAGATCTATGTGATCAGAAGCTTACTGCTTTTGGTTTGAATTGCCAGAGACTCAGTACTCAATAACTAGCAAAATCCTCAGCTCTGAGCAGCAGCTAACACAGCAGCATTTAGCAAAACTCAGGGTAGCTAGTGTTACAGTTCTCAAGCTTTGGGCATTTGCAATTCCCCAGCATTCAAGGCATGGCAAATCTTGGGAACTCATCCAGTGACCGGGACCTTCGCTATACTTCCACTGTCCTTCAACATCTGCTACACTCTCCACTACTGCCACTTTTGCTGCCATCTTCTTTGTATTATCAGGTTAGCATATTCTATTTATGACTAAAGCCACAAACAGGCAAGAAAAGACCATTTGGGCCTAATATTACAATGATATAATAATATTACATGAGGCAATCGGGTGTTTCCCTTTTTCTTTTCTTTTCTTCTTTTTTTTTTTTTTTTGTCAGTCTTGGGGCCTGAACTCTGGGCCTGTCCCTAGCTCTTCAGCTCAAGGCTAGTGCTCTACCACTTGAGCCACTTCTAGCTTTTTCTGCTTATGTGGTGCTGAGGAATCAAACCCAGGGCCTCATGCATGCAAAGCAACACTCTAACACTGAGCCACCTTCCCAGCTCCAGTGTTTCCCTTTTGAATCAAGTGAGTTGAATATCCAGCTTATTAGCCAGATTTGGGGGGATGGGTGTGGCATGCAAATTAAGGAATATATTTGTACCAATCTCAGCACTGCTTCAAGTTCTACTAATCATAGGCTTCTTGCTGTGTAACTACCAAGTAACGTCCTCTCCCATCTTGAGTAAGAATAGCTGTAGGGTCATTTAAGTTTCATTGAGGCTTGTCTTGCCTGGGATGCTACCTTTCAAAGCCATTGAAAGTGGTCTGGTGTGGTTGTGACTGAAACAAGGACTCCTGGAGCAGGAAGTCCTAGCATCAATTATAGTGGTCCTTACTGGTGAAGTGTTCTCTGAGTGTAAAGAATCTAAATCAGCCACGCTGCCATGATAGCACTCTGACCAGTTGCCCAAGAAAAACCTTCTCAGCTCACAGTTCCTCACTCCAGGCTGCCAGGCACAAGTGAAGGATCTTCCCACTGCCATTCAAAGGCCTGAACTTAACCACAGGTGGTGGGCTGGGGATTGCAGGATGCTTACAATGGAGACTTTGGAAAAAAGAAAAAAAGGCTCAACATAAAAAACATTCTCAACAACATTTAACAATGCCTCATAGCATTTGACAATATTTAACTAACAATGGTTAGGAGCTGGGAAGGTGGCTCAGTGGTAAAGTGCTTGCCTTGCATGCATGAGGCCCTGGGTTCGATTTCTCAGCACCACATAAGCAAAAAGAAAAAAGCCAGAAGTGGCTCTGTGGCTCAAGTGGTAGAGCACTAGCCTTGAGCTGAAGAGCTAAGGGACAGCGCCCAGGCCCAGAGTTCAGGCCCCACAACCGGACCCACCCCCCCCCCCAAAAAAAAGAAGAAGAAACAATAGTTAGCCACTGCTTTAGTCTCTAGGGAGAACTAGATCCTATCTGTCTCACTTTCTCATCTTAAATATTTAGGCAATCATTCTTATCATGCATAAGTGAAATAAACCATACTCAGCCATATACCTGATAATTTAGGAAAATTGAGGTTGGTAGGAGGTCGGGGTTCTCATCTTTCACATCTCTTTCTGTTGTGCTGCGGAGCTTCCAGTAATGACTTGCTTACTTTGATCTTGAATAGAAAAACTCAGGAGTATAAGTCAGTGATAGTGTTTGCTGGTCATATAGAAGATCTGCCCTAGTACAATCAAAAAGTAGTAATAAGATGGGCACTGGTGGCTCATACCTTTAATCCTAGCTACTCAGGAGGCTGAGATGTAAGGATTTTGTTTTGAAGCCAGCCTGAGCAGCAAGGTCTGTTAAACTCTTATCCAATTAATCATGAAAAAGCCAGAAGTAGCTCAAGTGGTAGAGTACTAGCCTTGAGCAAAAGAAGGTTAGGGACAGTGCCCAGGCCCTGAGTTCAAGACCCAGGACCAGACAAAAAAAAGTAATAATACTTGTTGGTGAAAGACAGTAGATAATCTTGCACCTTACTAAAATAATTTTACTTAGTTTTATATAATTAGATTTACTAAATAACAGAAATACCCTCTTAGCCAGGTACCAGTGGCTCATGCCTGTAAACCTAGCTACTCAGGAGGCTGAGATCTGAGGACTACAGTTCAAAGCCAGCCCAGGCAGGAAAGTTATGAGATTCTTACCTACAATTTGCCACCAGAAAACCAGAAGTGGTGCTGTGGCTCAAGTGGTAGAGCACTCGCCTTGAGCTGAAGAACTGAGGGACAGCACCCAGACCCAGAGTTCAAGACCCATGACTGAAAAAAAGAAAAAAAATACCCTCTTTCAACTTCTCCAATGGTGAATCGAAAACATATTTTTCGGATTCAGCTGAAATGTCTCTCTTCTAGGATGCTTTCTCTAATCCTACCCTCTTCCCCAAATATCTTCTCTCAGTCTCACTCTCTTTCACCCACTCCAATTTTTCACAATTGTATTATTTTGGTCTGTAAGTGTCTTTCTGGCTGCCCCTGAGCTCAAGTGGCAGAACCTCATTTGTAGATCTTTAAAGTCTGCTTACTTGCCTTACTTCTAGACTGGATTGTCCTCTTTACTAACTCTGTGGTCCTGGACACATTACTGCATCTTCTGTCTGATATATCTTACATCAGAAGGCTCTTGATGGAATTTGATAAGATTTGAATATTTTAGCACAGAGTCATGATAAGTACTCAGTATTAGTTTTATCATTATTTATTATATACTTAATAAAATCTAACTTCAGCCGGGCACCAGTGGCTCACGCCTATAATCCTAGCTACTCATGAGGCTGAGAAATGAGGATCGCAGTTCAAAGCCAGCCCTGGCAGGAAAGACCGAGAGACTCCTATCTCCAGTAAACCACCAGAAAACTGGAAGTGGCGCTGTAGCTCAAGTGGTAGAGTGCTCACCTTGAGCTGAAGAGATGAGGGACAGCACCCAAGCCCAGAGTTCAAGCCCCATGACTGACAAAAAATAATAATAATAATAAATAATAATAATATCTAACTTCCTTCCTTATATTGGGGTGGTAACTAGTAAGTGTTGGAACAGACTCATGCAAGAGCCACCATGGTTTTCCTAAATACATAAAAAATTCAAACAATATGATTAAGTAGATCATAGCTAGAACAAATCTAGAAACAAAACTATAAATTTGTTCCTATTGATTCAGTTGTCATAGCACAGTGCTGTCTAACTAAAACATAATGCCCTGCCACAAACATAATCACCATGTGACTTTAAATTTTCTAGTTAGCCAAAAAGGCAAAAAAAAAAGTTCATTTTAATTATAATAATATACATTTATTTAACCCAGCATATTAATGTATATTAATGATTGAGCTATTTTATATTCTGTTTTCATACTGAGTCTTTGAAATCTGGTATATATTTATACTTACAGCACATCTCAATTTAAATGCTCAGTAGCAGAAGTGGCTGCTGTGGCTCAAGTGGTAGAGTGCTCGCCTTGAGCTGAAGAGCACAGGGACAGCGCCCAGGCCCAGAGTTCAAGCCCCACGACCAACCAAAAAAAAAGTATAGTTTAGGGCTGGGAAGGTGGCCTAGTGGTAGAGCACTTGCCTTGCATGCCTGAGGCTCTGGGTTTGATTCCTCAACACCACATAAGCAAAAAGAAAAAAGCCTGAAGTGGCGCTGTGGCTCAAGTAGTAGAATGCTAGCCTTGAGCTGAAGAGCTGAGGGACAGCGCCCAGGCCCAGAGTTCAAGCCCCACAACCCAAAAACAAAAATGCTCAGTAGCTACATGTGGCCTTATATAAATAACACAGGTTTGTGACTGATGGGACAGATTATAGCCATGACCCAGAATGATGATCCTGGTGGTTGGTGGAAGCAGTAACACTTGAACTTATTTTTGTTGAGATTTATTTTACATGTATTAATTTTACTACTCTTTGCATTGCCATCTCCTAGCATAATAATTGTAGTAATATTATGTTGTCTAAACAGACCACCTAAATATTTATATTAATTCTCAAACCAATATATTTTTGATTGTTTACTGAGACAGCTGAAGCTGTCTTTGGATTTAGGATCCTCTTGCATTAGCCTCCTAAGTGCTAAGATTATAAATGGGCACTGCCATGTCCAGCAACAAACCCATAAGCTGGGCTTGTTAGTTTGTTTTTGTTTTGGTATGTGTATGTATGTGTGTCCTGGGGCTTGAATTCAGGGCCTGGACACTGTCCCTGAACTTTTGTGCCCAAAGCTAGTGCTCTACCACTTAAGTCACAGCTCTATTTTTTGCTTTATGTATTTATTTTTGGTGGCTAATTAGAAATAAGAGTCTCATAGACTTTCCTGACTGGGCTGGCTTCAAACCATAATCCTGACTACCTAGAATTACAGGCATAAGCCTCCAGTGTCCAACCAAACCAATAAATTTTAAATATTTGTGTGTATGCTATTATTACCAAACCTATATATTTTATATTACAGGAGTTTATGTCATTAAGGGCAAAAAAATGTATATAGTATTTATGATATAATATACAATTGCTAGTACGCTCATTCTTGAGCTTTTACTTATCTAACCTTGAATTTTATATATATGTGTATGTCTGACAATTTCATGGTTTCACAGACACTGTGTCTGCTGGATTGGCCTGGATACTTACTCTGAGAGAGCATTCATGTTTTCCTCAAATATTTCATACTTAGTAGTCAGTCAGATCTTTTCTCCTTCCTTCCCTCCATCCTTTCCTATTTTAGAGAAGGTCTTGCTATATAGTGTAATCTGGCTTTGAACTCAAAATCATCCTGATTGTAGCTCCCAAGTTCTAGAATTAGACATAGTTCACTGACCATGCTCACTTGACTCCATGTTTCTGGGCTTATGCTGGGACAGAACTAATGGTTGAAGGTCAGGGGATGATAATAGATCCTTCAAAGACATGCCCCTGGTGACCTACTTCCTCTAACTAGGCTCCACCTCCTAACTGTCTACTCAGCCAGGAGTTCACCAAAGGTTTAATCTGTTGATAACGTTAAGAGTTGCCATAATCCAATTACCTATCAATAATAACACTAGCTAGAGATCAAATCTTAGACATATGAGTCTTTTTTAATGCAAACCATAACATCCCCTTTGTATCTGAGAACTGAACAAATGTCATTTATAAAAAAGTATACCATGATTTTAATGTGAGCTACATATTTTAGCTTTTATTTTCACTGTACACACACACACGCACACACACACACACACACACACACTCATGCTCAGCTCTCAGAAGCTGGGACTACTCTTCCTTTCTTGAATTCTCTTGCCTTCATCCAGACTGCTTGCTTGCTCTTCCAGGCAGTGTCTCTGATCAGTATGCCCCAGTTTGCCTAGGGATGCCGTTTCCCTAGCTGCTGTGCTCTGTGTTAAAGTAAAGGATTTAGAGCATAATTGGTGACCACATAAGGACACAGGAGCACATAGTGACACCTAATGTGTCAGTGTCCATAGCTTCTGATCAGAAGTTCTCCAGATAGGCCAAATGGGGTTAGCATGTCAATTTCTCAGCTGTTCACACTGTGGACTTGACAGTCTGACCCTTCATGAATTGCTGAGTGAACCTTGAAGTGTATTTATTCTTTCCCCAAATTGTTTTTGGGCTCTCACTATCAGGCTTAATAAACAGATTTTTTAAGTATCATAAAATGAATTATCTCATAATTTTTAATGTTTTATCCAAACATTCTGAGAGAACTCAAAATTATGTTTTTTGAGTTAATTTGTAATTCACAGAACTAAACTAGAACACTATGTCTCCTGTATTCCTCGGCCTTCTCATCCTATAGAAGCTTCCTGTGTAGAGAAGGAGGGTAAGAAAGTGAGCCTCCAGCAGACAGCAATAACTAGCCGGGGGATCAGAACACAGAACATTAAACACAGCCTCCTGAAGATCAGAGCAACTGAGCTAACGAGAACTCACTACTGCTTTACATGCTTCTATTTTCTTCCCATTAGATTTTTGAAGACTATGAAAAACTGCTGCTGTCTGAAAATTATGTGACTAAGAGACAATCTTTAAAGGTAATACCAAATTCCTTTCGGTCCTTGTAAATTGTTATCTTCTTAGCAAATTGTATCTATTACTGATAAGTAAACACAGACCAATTAATGAATCCTTTTTTGTGTAACCTGAAAAGTATATTTTATATTATGACTGTACTTTGTAGCAAAATAATGTGAAGTGTCATGACTCAGATACTGTTTTTGTGTTTGGGCCAGTCCTGGGGCTTAAACTCAGGGCCTGGGTGCTGTCCCTGAGCCTTTTCATTCAAGGCTAACACTCTACTATTTGAGCCACAGTTCCACTTCTGGCTTTTTTGGTGTTAACTGAAGATAAGAGTCTCACAGATGTTTCTGCCTAGGCTGGATCTGAACGATGGTCCTAAGATTTCAGCCTCCTGAGTAGCTAGTATAATAGGCCCTTGCCTCAGATACTATTTTTTTTTGGGGGGGGGGGTCAGTCGTGGGGCTTGAACTCTGGGCTTGGGCCCTGTCCCTGCACTCTTCAGCTCAAGGCGAGTGCTCCTCTACGTGAGCCACAGCGCCACTTCCAGTTTTCCAGTGGTTTTTATTTGAGATAAGAGTCTCACAGACTTTCCTGCCAGGCTGGCTTTGAACCATAATCCTCAGATCTCAGCCTCCTGAGTAGCTAGGATTACAGGCATGAGCCACTGGCACCCAGCCTCAGATACTATTTTTATTTTTGTTATTATAAAGGCAATGTACAGAGGGGTTATAGTTACATAATTAAAATTTTAAAGTAACAATATATATAGTAAGTGAATTTAATGTTAAAGTAGATTTGGAATTTTTCTGCTAAGAAAGAAGACAAAGCCTAAAGTAACTTGTGCAGAACCATAGTTCTCTCCTAGGGAGTATTTTTTTAGTTGAAAAGAACTACTTGGGTGAAGATGGGAATGACTGTCAGAAAAAGTTCTGTGAGGCTCCTATATAAATCTCTTACAGAAAATAGACTCAAAACAGACCAGGAAGAAAGAAGAGATCCTGTCTCTCCCAATATTCTCTGTAATCTTAGAGATATCTTGGAGAGTTAAAAAAAAAAAAGACAAAATATGATACATAAAAGTAAAACATTGAAATTCCTCTCCAAGGTGTAAGCTTAGTAACTGGTTAAACTCTTCATCTATTTTATTATGAAATGGTGTTTATCTCCCAGAATACAGCCTCATATTTATGCCTGGGTTGTCCTGTACTATTAGCCTCCTGGTTATGCTTCCCATGTAGTTGGAATAACAGGCACGCAGTTGAGATGGGGACTCCCTAATTCCCTAATTTTTGGCCAGGTGGGTCTCCAATTCCTATCCTCCTAATCTCAATCTGACTCTCCTAGGAATCCGGGCATGAAAGGTACTTGGCCTGGCCAAGAATATTTTCTTAATCACATTTTATTACCAGATCTAATTCTCTCAGTACTCTAGTCAGCTAGTATTTACTGTAGATTTCTTTATATGTCTACTCTTGAACATGTAACATGCTTAAATTATATTTACAACAAAGGCTCTAAAATATGAAACAGTATTCCCTAAGAATTAAAAGAACTATGTTTTTAAAAGTCAGCTGGCCCAAGGGTATAGCTCAGTTGTAGAGCACTTACCTAGTATGCAGAAATCCCTGGGTTTAGTCCCCAGCACCATAAAAGAAAGAAACTGAAGAAACACATATGTGAGACTACATAATCAAATACAGAAAACTTTATTTTATTTTATTTTTTTAAAAGGCAGCATTACACTGAAAAAGAATCTGGAAAATAGGGTAAAAGATGATATAAGCTGGGTGGTAGTGGTCCACATCTGTATTCCTAGTATACACACAAAAAGATCTCTTATCTAACTACTTAGGATCCTGAGATCTGGAGGATTAGGATTCAAAGCCATCCCATAATTCCTGTCCTCCTCGGTGAATGTTGAGGTAGCCATGTGTCCTAGGGGAGATGGGGATCTCCTGAGTGGTAGGGCATGGGCCAGAGCTGTAACTCTGCCCTTCAGATCATATTTTGATATTCACAAGAAATTTTTGGAAGATTATATTGACCATTGTAGTCAAGCAATTTGATCTTCTAGCTTGTTAAAAGTACTTGTGTATTATTTACATGTCAGGATGATGACATTCATGACAATCCATTTATTTCTAAATATTGAATACAATTTTTGTTGTTGTAGTTGGTCATGGAATTTGAACTCTGGGCCTGGGTGCTGTCCCTAAGAAGCTCTTCAGCCCAAGGCTAGCACTCTACCACTTGAGGTGGTTAATTAGAGATAAGAGTCTCACAGACTTTCCTGCTGGGGTTGGCTTTGAGCTGTGATCCTCACATCTCAGCTTCCTGAGTAGCTAGGATTACAGGTGTGAGCCACTGGCACCCAGCCCAAATACAATTTTAAGCTAAGGTAATTCTTTGTCTGTGTTCCAGTAAGTACTAGGGCTTGAAATTAGAGCCTCGTTCTCTCAGATTTTTCACTCATGTGACTCCAGTTCTGGCTTTTTGCTGGTCAACTGAAGATAAGAGCCTTGTGGATTGTCTGCTTGGGCTGGCTTCAAACCTGGATCCTCAGATCTCAGACTCCTGAGTAGCTAGGATTATAGGCACCAGCCAGCAGCTCCCAGCTATGCCACATTTTTTAGCATTTACTTTATCTGTGATTTCACATTAACTATGGCCCACTTCCCCATGTGTCTTTGTCCTTGCTGGTCTAGTGTCTCTCGTAACCAGCAGATCACTTTTCAGCCGGTCGATCAGCACAGTTTATTGAGCCAGTCTGTCAGCATGGTTTATTGTCTTTCTGTACAAATATGCCCAAGGTGACCCACCTAGGGAAGTCTTGCAGGTGCTGCTGTCTGTGCCACAACTTGCAGTCAGGAGGCCAAACTGCCCAAGAAACTCACCTCCAGACAGAGGCAGTGGCCTCAGCACCATACCCTCCCACATCTACAGGGCATGCTAAGACCATGCGACATAATGGTGCATCCTGGTTCCACAGCTGCCTACCTACAGAATGGAATTCACTTACAAGAGTAAGTGATGGCACATGCCACAGGAGACAGAGGCTAGAGAATCAAGAGTTCAGGACAGCCTGGGATTCATAGGGATACCCTGTCTCTAAATAAATAATAGTGGTTCTAGGGGGAAGGTGGTAACTGGTCTAGTAAACAAAGGTCCACTGGGTAAAAAAGAGCTCATAAACTTCTTAAATCACTCTTCTTTTTAGTCCAAGTCTGTCAAATATTGGACCAGATCACCTTCCTGCCTTTTCTTATCATTACCAGCTAAACACTTATTACTTGTAAACTAGTTGAAATAGAATCCCACTCGTGGTAAGAACTGTGGACCTTTTATTTATTTGTTTTAGTTTAGGGGTGTGTGGGGGGCAATAGAGAGAGAGATGGTAGGGATCAAACCCAGGACCTCATACATGCTAGCAAGTCCTCTACCACTGAGCTGTATACCCCTATCCTAGAACTATATGTATTTGTTCAATAAATCAAGCTAAATTCTACAAACAAATACTCCTAGTCATTATTCCTATGAGGCATTATCTCTGGAAGAGATTGAATATTCTCAATAAACATGGGCTTGGGGTATGAATAAGACTGGGTTCTACCAACAGCATGTATATGTGTTTAGAAACAATAGCCTGTCAACCTAAAGCATATACAATTGGTATATGTCATGGCTCAAGTGTTAGAGCACTTGCCTAGCAAGCTCAAGGCTTAGAATTCAAGCCCCAGTAGTGCAAAATAAAACAAAACAAAGCAGGAGAAAAGCCAGGATCCAGTGGTTTAATCTTGTAATTCTAGATAGCCCAGAGGTGAGGTTAAGATCTGAAGATCAAGGTTCAAAGCTAACTTGGGCAGATGAATACCCAATGATGAATACTCTTATCTCCAATTAACCAACAATAGATAGAAATAGAGGTGTGACTCAAGTGGTAGAGTGCCCTCCTTGAATGAGAAAGCTAAGCAAGAGCACAAGACCCTGTGTTCAAGCCTCAGTACCAGCACACACACATTTCCCTAGTCCCCATTTCCCCCCCCCAAAAAAAAACAAACTCATACAAATGTGAGGAGTAGCAAATTATAGCAAGATGCACTCCATCACTGCTATCTGCTCAGTTCTACCATCCAGCCTCTTTCCCTTTCCTGTGGTTTCCCAGCTCCAAACTGGAGCAGACACACCTGGTACAGAAATTTCTTGTATCCCTCCCTTTCCAAACTGTTTACTTTTTACAAATGCCTTTCTAGTTTTGAGGCATCTTTCCTCTTCTTTAGCCATTCAGAACTATGACACTGGTTACTTTTCCTGTCCTTAATCCTTAACAGTTAGATGTCTCACACCACATATATTTGATTTATAATGTGGTAAAAACCAAGGACTAGCTAAATAGTAAAAACAACAACAAAAACAGATAAAGCGGGCTGAGAAGGTGGCTCAGTGGTGGAGAGCTTGCCTTGCATGCCTGAGGCCCTGGGTTCAATTCCCCAGCACCACATAAGCAAAAAGAAAAAGCTGGAAGTGGCACTGTGGCTCAAGTGGTAGAGCGCTAGCCTTGAGCTGAAGAGCTGACGGAGAGCGCCCAGGCCCAGAGTTCAGGCCCCACGACTGGACCCCCCCCCCAAAAAAAAAACAGATAAAGCATAGGTAAAACATGTAGAAACTGATAAAGATGGTTACTTCAGGAAGAGCTGCCTTTTTTTGAATGCCGGATTGATTATAGTCAGTGATGTTGTTCACATGAACTGATGCCACCCTGATCAAGAGAATAAAAAGGTAAGAACACTGTAAAATGCGTTTATACATGAACATCAGGTTCTTTTCTCTGATAGACAAATGTTCTGGGGAGTTCTGCTGATGCAATTTTGATTTTTCCTTTTGGGAATTAGATCTGTATAACAGCATATTCTAATCTGATGTAACCATATTTGCATGTGAAGATTCTATAAGATTTTGTATATAGACATTTCATAATTGTAGAAAATGGGAGGAGTTAGGTTATTATAGTTATCAACTTTGTAAGTAATAAACTGGCTAGAGTTCTACTTTATTTTCTGATCCCTAAGTATTTGCCACCTGCTACTTACATTAATCATATTCTAAGTTTTCTTAGTCTTGGTATTGGGGTGCTTTGGTACCTGGTATCAATAAAAAGTAATTAACATGTGACAGAGTTTAGGAACATCTTGTCTTCTCAGAGGTTCTAGCATTTAATTAATAGCAAGAAACATTATAATTTCAAAGAAGCTTGGTGGAATATTTTATTTCATTGTTGGTATTAGTATAACTGGAAGTTCCATATGTTGGGTCCAGCCACTCATCCCAGTATGCCAAATAAACACCCAAACAAGGCAAGTGCCAATGGCTCTTGCCAATAATGCCAGGAGATCTGAGGATTGCAGTTCAAAGTCAGCTCAGGCATAAAATGTCCAGGAGACTCTAATTAACTACTAGAAATGGAGCTGTGGCTCAAGGTAGGACCCTAGTTGAGTGTATCTACTATTGTATCTTCTATGTTTCAGTCATCTGATTGCTGTAGCTTTAGGAACTACTTATAGCAATGCATTCAGCCACACTATTAGAGGGTCTTCAGACATTATTAAACCTTGTGGGGTGTTTTTGTGGTGAGTTTATTTCCAGTCCCAGGGTTTGACCTCAGGGCCAGGGCGCTGTCCCTGAGTTTTCCTGCTCAAGGCTGGCACTCTACCAGTTGAGCCATAGCTCTGCTTCTGGTTTTTTAGTGGTTAACTGAAGATACAATCTCATGGGCATTCCTGCCCAGGCTGGTCAGATCGCAGCCTCCTGTTTACTCAGGAGGGTTATAGGTATGAGCACCAGCACTGGTTTTAGAATAATGTTGCATTTTTGAAACTGTTCATCCATCACTATAAAATGTTTTGCTTAACTTTTTTATCTTGGCAGAACCTGGGGTGGTTGTTTTATTTTCTGTGTGTTATATGTGTGCGTGTGTGTGTATGTATGTGCTCACGTGTGCGCGTGCATCTCCCAGTACTGGGGGTTGAACTCAGGGCCTTGGCTTAGGTGCTATTCCTTAGCTTTTTTGCTCTACTACTTGCCACAGCTCCACTTGCAGGGTTTTTTTTGTTTTTTGTTTTTTTGTAGTTAGTTGGAGATAAGAGTTTCACAGACTTTCCTGCTCTGGCTGGCTTCTTTTTGGTTGGTCATGGGGCTTGACCTCTGGGCCTGGGTGCTGTCCTGAGCTCTTCAACCCAAGGCTAGCTCTCTACAACTTAAGCCACAGTGTCACTTCCAGTTTTCTAATGGTTTATCAGAGATAAGAGTCTCACAGACTTTCCTGCTGGACTGGCTTTGAACCATGATCCTCAGATCTCAGACTCGTGAGTAAGTAATGTTAAAGGCATGAGCCACTGGTACTCAGCCTCAGTACTGATGTTTAAACTTTGGGTTTCACAGTTGATAGTTACTACTGCCACTTGAACTACTACCCCTAGCCCTAGCTTCCCCCCTCCCCCCCCAATTTATTTATTTATTTATTTAACAAAAACTTCCTATACACTAGGCTTATAATCCTACCTACTTGAGGGGCAAAGATTGGAGGATCATGGTTCAAGGCCAGACTGGGCATGAAAGTTCTTAAGAGTCCATATATATCAACTACTGACTGAGCATGGTGGTACATGCCTGTTACCACAGTTACTGGGGAAGCATAAGCAGGAGGATCGCAGCCTAGGCTTAGTTTGTGCATAGGCATAAACTAAGATTGAACTTTGAAAATAATTGATGCAAAAGGAGCTGTAGGTTTAGCTCAGGTAATAGAGCATCTGTTTACCAAATATGAGGACCTAATTAACACCCAAAGAAAGAAGGAAAAGGAAAGGAAAGGAGAAGAAAGATTTCCTACACTTAAATATGGATATGGTCAGGCACAGTGGTACATACCCATATTCCCAACACTTAGGAGGCAAAGGCAGGATGATTTTAGTTTAAGGCCAGCCTGAGCTAAGTCTCAGAAACAAACAAAAAGGGCTGGGAAGGTAGCTCAGTGGTAGAGCACTTGCCTTGCATTCATGAGGCCCTGGGTTCGATTCCTCAGCACCACATAAGCAAAAAGGAAAAAAGCTGGAAGTGGTGCTGTGGCTCAAGTGGTAGAGCGCTAGCCTTGAGCTGAAGAACTGAGGGACAGCGCCAGGCCCAGAGTTCCGGCCCCATGACTGGACTCAAAAAAAAAACAACAACAACAAACAAACAAAAATCTTGATTATAGATTCAGGTCAGTGATTTCTCCCCGTCCCTTTGTTAGATCAGCTTTTATACTTAGTCAAGGAAGCCATGGGTAATTGTAGAGTCAGTATTGTTATCCCCATCCTGCCTGAATGCCTATGGAGTAACATATTGTTGTGAAGCAAGATAATTCAAAGAAGAGATAAAAAAGGTTATTTCTAGTTATCTCTTCAGCAGCAATGACTGGCTAAACACCTGCATTAAACTTAAAGCTTAAACTAATAAGAACTACAGTTTTTATACCTGTTCTTTTTGTTTCTGTCATTTGGCTTTTTTTCCATTGAAATTAGGTGTTTCACTGTACTGCCCAGACTGGCCTGGGCTCTTGGGCTCTTGTGATCCTCTCGCCTCAATCTGTCGAATAGCTAGGGCCATAGTCATATACTCTACCCTGGCTTACACCTGTTCTTTAAATAGATACTTGAGGACTCTCCCTAAGCTTTTTTTTCTTCATGATACCATTGTTACATTTCTTTGTTATGGTTGAGTGAGAAAAGAGTGAGGTATATTGAATAATAAAAGTGATTATAAGATAATGGCTCTGACCTTGAGCTTTCTTGTAGCTGCTAGGTGAACTGATCCTAGATCGTCACAACTTTGCCATTATGACCAAATACATCAGCAAGCCAGAGAACCTGAAACTCATGATGAACCTCCTTCGTGACAAAAGCCCCAACATCCAGTTTGAAGCTTTTCACGTCTTTAAGGTAAAGTATAAGGCATTTTCTTCCCCCAACTTCAAATGATAAGCTTTCCCTACTTTGTACATTCCTTTAGGCATGAGTGGAGAATAAATAGGTGATCTTTGTGATATGGATGACTTGGATGAAATTCTAGAACTATTTCACATCTCCAAAAATTTTTTCTTTTAAATATTTATTTACTGATTGTTATCTTGCACTGGTTTAATTGCATAAATTCACTAATTCACATCTCTAAAATTTTCTCTTTTTAGATATTTATTTACTGATTGTATTCTTGTACTAGTTTAATTGCATAAATTCACTACTTAAGTGCTGCTATTAGGTTAATTTGCCTCTTACCATTACATATGTATTATAAATTCAGAGAAATTTCCTATGCAGTGACCTGATCTCAAGGAGCCTACGAAAATTAAGTGATGGCTTTCAAATTGAAAATCACTGAAAGAAATGAGGCTTGTGTCTGCTGTTAAAGGTCTTCAGTACTCACCACACCAGCTAGATGGAAACACCAGTAAAGCTGACCTTTGTGTCTTATACTGAGCTCAGGGCTTCTTTTGCTTCTAAGAAAAAAACTTCAGCATTTCCCTCTGAGAGAAATAAGTCACCATCTTCCCAAAGTTGCTGAAACTACCAGAGATTAAGGTAGAGTCTAGGTCCTGACTGCAGGCTTAGAACTGCTTAAGACTGGTACTCAACCACTTGAGCCACACCTTCATTTCTAGCTTTTTGCTGGTTAATTGGGAATGAGTCTCACACACCTCTGCTCAGGCTGGCTTTGAACTGCCTTCCTCAGAATCCAGCCTCCTGAGTAGCTAGGATTTACAGGTATGAGCCATCAGCACCTACCCTTCAACACTTTTTTTTTTTTTTGTAAGTGGGGCTTGAACACAAAGCCTGGATGCTGTCTCTGAGCTCTTTTGCTCAAGGCTAGCACTCTGCCACTTTGAGCCACGGCACCACTTCTGGTTTTCTGGTAGTTAACTGGAGATAGAGAGTCTCATAGACTTTCTTGCTTGGGCTCGCTTTGAACCATAATCCTCAGATCTCAGCCTCCTGAGTAGCTAGGATTACAGGAATGAGCCACCAGTGCCCAACCTCAACACCTTTCTAATGAAGGGACTGTAGAAGGAAGGCTGTGGGCCATGTCATTTAATCTCCACAGAAGTGACCCCTGTCATTTGAGATAAGAGCAAGCTTCATATAATACTGTGCAAAACTACAGTGTTATGAAGGATTCAGTGGGTGGTTAAGATAGAAATAACCTGCTTCCATATTCAGATCAGAATTCGGATCCCCTAGTCACTGGACAGCACAGGAACATTTAAAAATAGTGGATCACTTGTTTCTTTGAATGTGTGTGTAAATTGGTCCTACCCTGTACCCTAACAGTGTTCCTTCCACTGAAGCATGACAACTCAGTTGTCTACATTCCAAAAATAATATTTTGCAATTTTAAAAAAGTAACAGCTGAGCCCTAGAATTTTTCACAGTTCTTTATTAATAGTTTTTCTCCCAAAGTACCTCCTATAAAGGTGCTGAAAATGTGGTACATAGTACAAAGACAGTACTGTGTTTGCTGTGTTATTAGTAGCTCGTTTTCATTAGCTTGCCATTAAGGTGAGGAATTCCAGTAAGATGCCATGTCATGTGCTCTGTAGCACCACCAGCAGGGTAGGGTATGATGTGAAAGGCCTCCATAGAAATCAGGAGACCTATACTGTCTTGCTTCAGTTGCTCAGAGAGTATCTGTCTAGAGCTATTTCCTCACTTGTAGAAACAGCAGTAAAATCTAAGTCTAGTTTTAAATACTGGTGATGAGACCTGTGTCACTGTCATCTGAATTGCCCAGAGATGACTTAGACCAGCTATTAGCTGATGTTCCCCCATTCTTTGCCCTAATACCCTCTGTAAGTAGCCAAGGATCATGTGTCTTTTTCCCATCAAGCACTGTAGGGGGTAGCCAATAGAATGAGGCTCACACTCAGAGCTACTAGACCCCAGGCATAGCCAATGCCAGGAATGGATCTGAGTATACAGCTCCATTTTCTCAGATCTCAGCCATTGCCACAAAAGCCTTTAGCGTGGAAGCAAGAATCCCTGTCCAGTTTCTTTGAAATACGAAAGTCAGCCTAAAAATTCAGCTAAAAAAAATATGTGGTGCAGGACCAGTCCTAAACCACTGCAGTGGTTTGTGCTTATAATCCCAGCTACTTGCAAGCATTATCTTTTTTAGTCCTCTCAAAACTCAATGAAGTTTTGGCAATGAAGAAGATGAAATACTAGTACATGTTGCAGCATGGCTAAGCTTTGAAGACATGCTGCAAGGCCAAAGACTGTCACACACAGGATTTCATCAGCATGAAATTTCTAGACTAGGCAAAATTCTGGGGGTAGAAAATAGATTAATAGTTGCCAGTGTTGGGGAATGAGTTGGGGCCTTTCTCTCATCATGCTTGAGGACTCCCTAAATCACATTTCTGAAGCATGTTATATAAACTTAGGGATGCAGGCAATTTAGAAAGGACTCATACACAGTTCTAGTAGTTAATCTTGTTTGGGGCTTTGCAAAGACTTTTCTGAGTAACTGAAGACAGCACAGCACCAAGAAACTGTTCTGGACCTAATAGTCCAGAAATCTAGTTCCCACAGCTGAGTGGAAGTGTGTCCCATGGTCCATAGCAAGCTCTGGCTGATTTCCAGCAGCCCACTACTCACAGGCAAGCACCCTGCACCTGGGCATAGCTGGCTTTAGTGAGCAGCTGTCTTTACCTTCAGAGTTCAAGAGTTCAGAAGAATAGAATATTTCAGAACTTGAGAGCAAACAGCATTGTCTGATGTGGATACTCCAGGGTATAGGCTTAAGTAGAGTTAATCTAATGAGGCTAGTCTAAAACTCCACAGAGGCCTGTTTCCACTAGGAAACAGGCAGGCCTAGTTTGTCCAATTTCGCTCCATTTTTTCTTTTTTAGAAGTATTGTTGTGAGTTATTTATGTAGTTACCACAAAATGCCAGGCAATTTTTAGACAGAACTTCACGGCAACTCCCTTGTAAACAAATGCTAACCAGAAGAGGCTGCTTGGCCCTGTGTATGATTTCCTAACGTACTAATAGGTATTATGTAAATACCAGGCATTTGGGATAGCAGTGTAAACAAGCCTGAATACTCTTTTCTTAGTAAGTAATAATTTTAGTTTATTGCAATAAAAGTTATATAAGAAAATTCACTATATTATTAATTGCACATCTTGAATTGCACAATTCAGTAACATTTAGTATACTTAGAATAGCATGTAACCATCTCTACTATGTAGTGCCAGAATATTTATCACCCCAAAAGGAACTTCTGTACTCATTAGGCAATCCCTCTCCATTTTCCCTTAGCCCCACCAGCCCCTGGCAGCCAGAATCTGCTTCCTGTGTCTATGGATCTACCTGTTTAGGATAACTTTGTATAACACAACCAACCCCACCATAATCAGTATATCATCCCTTTTAATGGCTATATAATATTCTCTAATAGAAATCTAGTCATCACTTGAATATTTAGGGTACAGAATAATTAGAGTACAGAGTTTTTATTAGAACAAATAGTTTCATTTTTTTAGAAAGAGAATTGTCCAAATGTTTTACAGTCCAATGTTTAACTTCTAAGGAAATGCTAGACCTTTTCACCAGGAGGTACACTATTGTACACTCACATCATCAAAGTAGAGATTCAAATTTTTTCTCATCCTCACACTTGTTGTTCTCAGGTTGTTTTTTAAAAGTGTAACAATCCGAGTGTAGTTCTTTTTTGTTTGTTTTTTGTTTTCAGTCCTTGAACTCAGGGCCTGGGCACTGTCCCTGAGCTTCTTTTGCTCAAGGCTAGCACTCTACCACTTGAGCCACACCACCAATTCTGGCTTTTTCTGTGTATGTGGTACTGAGGAATTGAATCCAGGGCTTCATGCATGCTAGGCAAGCACTCTACCACTAAGCCATATTCTCACCCCTTCAGTGTCATTTTCATTTACATTTCCCTTATGACTAATGATCTGAGCATTAGTCCATGCTCACTGGCTATTTGTGTATCTTCTTTGGAGAATTTTTATCCAAGTCCTCTGCCCCTTGGATAGGTGATTGGTCTTTCTGTTGTTGAGTTGTCAGAGTTATAGATAAAAGACACTGATCACATGTGTAATTGGCAAATATTTTCTCTCATTCTCTGGATTTTTCTTATTATTCTAGTATCCTTTGATACACACAAGTTTTAAATAGTGAAGTTGAATTTATTATGCTTGTGCTTTTGATGTTTTATCTAAGGAGTCATTACAAAGTCCAAGTTTATGAATAGTAATATTTTTCTCTAAAAGTTTATTAGCTGTTATATTTATGCCTCTGAGGCATAATAATATAGTCTGTAGACTATATTATGCCTATGAGGCATAAATATAAGGTAAAGTCCCAGCTTCATTTTTTTCCCCTCTTTCCCACTTTTTTTAAACTGGTTCTTTTGTGTTATTGTTTGGTTATTTTGTTTTCTTTTGTTTTTGTGTTTTCTTTTTTGGTACTGTGGACCAAACCCAGGATGTTGTACTTTCTAGGCAAGCACTTTGCCACTGAGTTACATTCCAACCCTCCCACTTTTTTTTATTAGCATCAACTAGTTATGCAAGGGGGGTTCATTTTGATGTCCTTATATATAGTATACCTTGATCAGACTCACCCCCTTCATTATTCTCCCTCAAACTCCTTTCCCCCAACTTTTTTTTGCATGTGGATTTCCAAGTGTCCAGTGTTTATGCTTTTATCATAAAAGGATGTTGAATTTTGCCAAGGAAACTCTGAATTGAGATGAAAGTGTAGTTTTTATTCAATTAATAGACTATATTAGTTTCCTGGGTGGCCATAACAGAGTACCACAGACTCAGTGGCTTAACTCAACAGAAATTTATTCTCTCACAGTTCAGAGGCCAGAAGACCAAGGCTAAGGTGTTAGCAGGGCTGGTTTATTTAGGAGGCTGAGAAAGAATCTTTCCTTGCTCTTTCTTAGCTTCTGAAGGTTGACAACAATCTTTGACATTCCTTGGCTTGTAGATAAATCACTCAGTTCTCCACCTCCATCTTCATGTGATTTTTCTCCTCTTTACAGCCCTATATGTCCCTATGCACAAAGTTTTCGATCATGTGTGTGTACCAGTGGTTGGATTGGGGCTCCCTAAGTCAGTATGACCTCAGCTTGACTACATCTATAAAGCTACTATTTGCCTAGGAGGTACTGAAAGGGTTAGGATTTAAACATTTATTTTAAGGAATATGACACTAGTACTTGTAGTGTTACACTGATTTTCTTATGTGGCCACCTTTATATTTCTGAAGTAAACCCCACCTGGTCATGGTATATAATCTAACATGCAACTGGCTTAGTTTACTAGTATTTTACTGAGAATTGTGCTGAGGATTTTAGTATGGCAGGACTAAAATAGAGAGAAATGAAAAAGAAAAGAGAAACATTTCCTGCTTCCCATTCAGGAAGAGGGGGTAAATAGATGCTGGGTTTTGCATTTTTACTCATGAAGGATATCACACTGTAGTTTTCTCTTGTCGGACTTCACTATCAGGGTACAACTTGCCTCCCAGAGAATAAGCTAGGCAATGTTCCTTCTTTGAGGATGAATTCGAGAACATTAGTGTTAATGTTTCTTTAAGTGTTCAATAGAAATTTACTGATGAAAGTCATCTTGGTCCTGGGTTTTCTCAGTTAGGAGTTTTTGATTACCAATTTGATCACTTCTCATAGGTCTATTCAGATTTTCTATTTCTTCTTGAAAAGTTTGGCCATTCCAACAGGTTATCTAATATGATGGCTTACAGTTGTTCATTGTGTTCTCTCATAATCCTTTTTTGTTTCTGTGAGATTCTTCAGTTCTGCTTTTAGTAATAGGAATCTTCTTTCATTTTTTTCTAAATCAATCTAGCTTGAGGCTTGTTGAACTGATGATGTGGCTCAAAGGGTAAAGCACCCAGCTTAGAAAGGAGAAGCCCCAAGTTCAAGCCTCAGTACTCTAAAAAAGTAAAAGAAAAAAGATTTGTCAATTTGTTAATATTTTTTAAAAAGATCAACTCTTAGTTTCATTTCACTCATTCCATAGTTTTTATCTCCTCTAATTTGTTTATCTCTGCTCTAATCTTTCTGTTCCCTTCTCTCTGTGTTTTTATCTCATTTTCCTTTCTTTTTTCCCCCATTCCATTGAGTTGTAAAGCTAGCTTTTAGATCTGTGCATTTACAGCTTTAAGCTTTCCCTCCTGTCTTTGTACATCTCTTCAGTTCTATGTTATTATTTTTATTTTCATCTGTCTCCAAGTACTTTCTAATTTCCCTTGTGACTCATTTGTCCCAAAGGTTGTTTAAGAGGACTCAGCCTGTTTAGATGCTTTATAGTTCAAAAGATGAGAAGTCAGTTCCTTTTTGTCCTTTCATAGTTCTAGACCTGCTAGTCAGAAATCTTCGAGATTCCTTTCTTTCCCTGCCCGACTTGGCCTGGCTTCAGGTTGGGTTTAGCCTAAGTAAGCAGCAAGGACTGCCGGAGATTATTCCATTGTGAGTCATTAAAAACCACAGAGACACACAGCCTTCCTAGGGAGTACTCAGTACTCCTCAGCATTTACTGAGTGAAAGCCCCAAGGCTTTGAGGAGAAAAACAGAAACAACACGAATTAATAGACAGTATTCATATCAGAAAGAAACTGGCTAGAAGTACATTAATTAAACAAATTGAGCATGAGAGATTTGGAGGGGTTTATTCCCAATTCACTAGCTCATTTGGCAGATGCCATGGTTTGTGTGTGTCATCCTGGGGCATGGACTCGGAGTCTCAAGCTCTTGCTTGGTATTTGTGCTCAAGACTGGCACTCTACCACTTGAGCCATACCTCCATTTTAGGCTTTTTGCTGATTACTTGGAGATAGGACTCTCAGAGATTTTTATGCCCTAGCAAGCGATCCTCAGATCTCAGCCTCCTGGGTAGCTAGGATGAGAGGTGTGAGTCACAGAGCCGGTGCCCAGCAGACGACATGTTTTCTCAGAGTGCATAAATGCAAACAAGCATCCTGGGGGTGGTCCCATTTCAGGCCTCATTAGCTCTGGGAGCCAAGCTAGGTCACCCAACTCCTACTCACGAGCCCTGTGTCTGGCACAACAATAATACACATATGAGAATGCATGTAGTGTTCTCATGAAGCCTCCTCATAGTTAGCTGGTAGGTTTTTTGTTTGTTTTTTGCCTTGAACTATTGGCTTGAACTCAGGGCCTGGGCAGTATCCCTGAGCTTCTTTTGCTCAAGGCTAGCACTCTACCACATGAGCCACAGAGCACTTCCAGCTTTTTTTCTGCTTATGTGGTTCTGAGGAATCAAACCCAGGCCTTCATGAATGCTATATTCCTAGCCTCCTAGCTGGTTGCATCTTAACCCCATTTTTCAGATGAAGAAACTGCGGTACAGAGAGAAGAGGTGTTATAGGGTTATATAGCTAATAAGCAATCATGCTGAGGTTTGGACCCATGAAGTATGCCCCAGATTCCATACTTCAACCATAATGCCATTCAGTCAAGTCTCTTGAATTCATTATGCTATGGTTTCCTCTGTGTGTGCACATACATGCACACACACACACACAGTACTAGGGCTTGAACTCAGAACCTTTAGCTTTTTTTGCTCAAGGCTGGTGCTCTACCACTTGAGCCACAGCTCCACTTCTGGCTTTCTGATGGGCAGGAATCTCACAGACTTTCCTGCCTGGGCTGGCTTCAGATCTTGATCCTCAGATCTAAGCTTACTGAGTAGGTATGATTACAGGCACAAACCTCTGGTGCCCGGCAATTTCCCTATTTATTTACAAGGGCAATTGTTACTATACCTCAGGGCTGATGAAAGTGATTTCCTAAGATCAGTGAGTGAGACCTATGAATAGGCAGCACAAGGCCATGTACACAGTTGATGAGGACTGTGTGGTGGAGTTGTGACTAGATCAAGATCAGTTGCTTCACCTCAGTGCCACACATCTGCATACATCAGTGGCAATGGCCTTAGGAGACTGTGGGATGTGATGCTGAGACATTGTATCCTCCAGCACATGCTCAGCCAGTGAGATAGAGGTCCTCTTGTCTCTGAATAGTGAAGCTTAAGCACAGAAGTTGACAGGATTTACCACTAATAAGCTGGAGAGGTACAGTCCGGAAGCAGGTAAGCCCCATGTGTTTTAAACTAGAGCTTGAGAACCTAGGCTGCAGTTTCTAAGCACCCACACTCCCTGCAGCTGTGTTCCCAAGGCCCCTGTCTATGCCCATCTTGGGACTTCCATTGGTGCAATTTCATGGTCCTGGAATACTTTCTATTTTGTCACATGTAAAAATGTTCTCCATGGCTGGGCATCTAGTGGCTCACGCCTGTAATCCTAGCTACTCAGGAGGCTGAGATCTGAGTATCATGGTTCAAAGCCAGGCAGGGGAGGAAAGTCTCTTAAGAAGTCTCTAGTCCCCAATTAACCACCAGAAAACCGGAAGCAGCGCTGTGGCTCAAAGTGGTAGAATGCTAGCCTTGAGCAAAAAACGCTCAGGGACAGCACCCAGGCCCCGAGTTAGTTCAAGACAACAACAAAAGGCTCTCCATAACTCATAGACTCTCTCTTGCACACACCACCTACCTTATGAGCTCTCCTTTTCCAAACCTGCAAGCTTATACCCTGGCCAGCACCTGGGAGCCTTATACCTCCATCATTGATACTTTATCCTTATGGAGTATTCTTCACACATACTGGGGTGGAAGAACCCTGAGGACTCAACCTCACAGGCCCTACCACCCCATAGACCATCCCCATCACAATGGGTTCTCCATAGACTGTGAATTGCTGTCTGGAAGAGGAGCTAGGGCACTAGGAGCCAAGGTACCTTTGATGTTTACATTGGTAATGTGTCCATCACAAACTAGTGCATCAATCCACCCTACAGTTTGAGTTCTTATGTCCTATTATAGTTCTTACTGTCTTTTATAGTGTAGCAAGGTTATTTTGTTTGCAGTGTTGGAAATTGAACCCAGCACCTCACACATGTTAGTCAAGTACTCTGCTGCTGACCCTACATCCCTGGACCTTAGCTTATTAGTCTTAAGATTGTGGTTTCAACCACAAGTAAACATACAATCTTTATGACACATTATTACTGAGTAGGGCTCGGGTGAGCTGACTAGTTGTCATTATTATAGTCCATTAATCTAAGAAAACAGAAAATAGAACTATTTGTGGAGAGAGGGAAGGTAAGAGGGAGACCATTCACTTGAGAATATCACCCATTCAAAACAATAAATTATGGAAAGATAGGCAATAATGCTATATGCTGTTCATGTCTACATGCATATTAAGTAGGGCAAGAAAGGTAGAAAGCAAAAGTTTAATTTCATTTATGATGCTTTATTTCATTAAGAAGAGAGGCAGACAGCAAAATCTGTTCCCAGTTTCTGTGGTGGATATATTGGTATCTGTTATTTTCTGTGTAAAAGATTTTATAGTTAAAAACAATTATTTAAAATGAAAACAAAGTAAAAGGTCAATAGGTTCACAGATGACTCTGCTATGCTCCTGGCACACTATCAAGGAGGTGTGTAGGTGAGGTGGTAGACTGTCAGGGCTTTCTGTGCATGTGTAACCCGAGTATGCATGGAATGTGAGTGGTCCCTGTGTGAGGTCCTACGCTAGGAGTTTTTTTCCTCTTGTTGCAGGTGTTTGTGGCCAGTCCTCACAAAACACAGCCAATTGTGGAGATTCTGCTGAAAAATCAACCCAAACTCATTGAGTTTCTAAGCAGCTTCCAAAAAGAAAGGACAGACGATGAGCAGTTCACAGACGAGAAGAACTACTTGATTAAACAGATTCGCGACTTGAAGAAAGCAGCCCCATGAAGCCCCACCACTGCCTGCCACAGCCATTTGTCTCCCTCACTCTGTTTGTATATCATTTTAGAAAGTCATTGTTCTTGGGAAGGCTTGGGAGGTGCCTGGTTTTTCTCAATTAATTGTTTGGGGTAGATGGGATATAAACATTTGAATGAAGAAAATTAATCTAGAATAATATATTCATTTTAATCAAATGATTATGTGAAATCAGAGCTATTAGGCATTTGACAAAAGCAACTTTGAAGTCATAGAGCTGAACCCTGGGCCACTAGGCGCTACCAAAGGGTAGTGGTGGCACTCTGCGGCTTGAGGACTAGGGTACAGAGCGAAGAGGTGAGGAACGTCTACGCCCATCTGCACTTCCACAGATAGATTTCTTAAGGCACTGACTATCCTGTGTATCCTTTTGCTCCCTACCCGATACCTTCTGACTATAATTAGTCATTCCTAATTTCCTGAATTCACTTCCTAGCTCACTTTCTACTCACCATCCCACATTCCATCCCACCCAGACAGGCCCATGGTCTCTACACTGCAGTGGAGTCAATGGGAACAACTGAGGAGGACAAGAATGGGTTATCATGGCCACAGGGCCATAGAAGAACATGAGGTATAACCTGCTCATGAGAGAACCAGGCAGGTGGTTTAACAGAGTCATTGTGTTTGACATCAACTTCCAGATAATTGTAATAATCTCTCATAATTGTGTAGGGATCGTGTGTTTTAGGAGTAGGAATCATTGCATTGTGTGGCAGCAGGCCCAGACAGGCCGAGGCAGATACAGTAGGGGATTTCTACCAATATGGTGACACGGACCTGGAAGGGATAATGACTTGTACATGAAAAAGTTCTCAACAAGCTGTCATTCTATAGCTGCTCATCAAAATCTTCAGTAAAAAGTTGCTAAAAATCTAAAAATAAAATAAAATTGGTCCATTCTGAATATACTCTTGCATACTAGGATAATTAAGGAAATAATTTGTGTTGCTTTAAACTACATGAGAGAACCAAAAATCAAATTTTAAAAGGTCATGGCTTGTTTTCAGACAGGAAATACACATAAAATGAAATTTTAAATCTTTTTATAAGACCTTAAAGATATGGTTCCAAGTCTGTTTTTTACTTTTTTTTTTTTAGTAATTATCTATAAATCATGGGTTGTTGCCTTATGTTGCCTCAGTTTTTACTATACTTTAGTACTATGTTCCTTTTTCCCAGCCATTTCTCTATCCAGAGACAAATGTGTTCCCCAGGATCAGTGCCCTTTGTAGGTTTTGTACCCTTTGGTTTTGTTGGTAGGTTTGTTCCCTGGTAGGGTATCTCTTTAGGCTGGGACACAGGAGTGTGGCATCTTGGTCCAGTATAGAGCCTACAGCAGAAGACAAGAGTGGGCCATAACTCACCTCACAGCTCTGGCCAGGGCCAGCTAAGGAGGATCAGCTTCAGCCCCTAATGACCTGCATTCTTCAGTGCTAATGTCTGATTATCTTTATGACATTTCCCATAGCCTACTTATTTGATGAAAAGAGATGAATGTAAACACTAAAAACCAAAGTGAAATAACCACTGGAAATGGATTTGGTGGCTTCACAGGGTTCCATAAGATGAAATACATGTTTTCAATTGGAAATGAAGGCCTTGTTCTAATTTTTTTTAAATAAAACACTTTATTAGCTGGGCACCAGTGGCTCACACCTATAATCATAGCTACTCAAGAGGCTGAGATCTGAGCATGACAGTTCAAAGCCAGCCTGGGCAGCAAAGTCTGTTAAGACTTATCTCCAATTGTCCACCAGAAAACCAGAAGTGGTGCTGTGGCCAAAGTGGTAGAGCACTTGCCTTAAGCTGAAGAGCTCAGGGACAGCATCCAGGCCCAGAGTTCAAGCCCCACAACCAGTTAAAACAACAAAAATACTTTATTTCCTCTAAGCTTGAATCAGCTCTTCCTAGCATCCCCTTTACCTAGCTTAGCTCCTATACCTGTCAAACAGAAAATCAGAGTCTCAGACACACTAGTTGAAGTAGCTGGGAGCTTTGTGTAATATTTGTATATTAACTCAAGAGGGAGTAGGAAATTCTAAATTTATTTGCACAAAGATCATTGTAAATATTGTGAGAACTGAATTCTAAAAAGGTCCTATTTAATAAGGTATTTCAAAGCACACATTTAAATAAAGACTGACTAAATAAAGCAGGTATCATATACTCCAGTTGGTTTCATTCCTGTCTGGGTTGTGGGGCTGTGTCCTGTCATTGTGTCATGTACGTAAGGCCCCAGGTTGGAGGGCCTGGTGCTGAGGCCCCCTAAGGCCTCAGGAACACCAGCCATGGATGTCACATCTAAGCTATAACTGCTCAGAACCTCCATGTCACAGCTGAGGACATGGAGAGTCTGAATAGTTTACTCCAGATCTAGGGTAGGACACACTGCATAGAAACCCATGCTGGCCTAAGGCCCAATTCCTGCTCTTTTTCCTCCACCATCACAGGCCTGTGAACTGGAAAAGGTCAGGGTGTTGGGAACTATGTGGTGCTCTCCCTTGTTGCTGCCTGAAAGGCTCCAGGCCGTCAGGGTGCCGGAATAAAGCCAGTAAGGATCTGAGATCATAATGTTCTTGGACAAAGCTCTTGCCCTTAAAGCCAGGCATCTGCACTTGGAGAAGAGGCTGTGAGTACACCTCTCTTGAAAATGCCAGGCTCCCAGCCTCGAGTCTTCTCATCCTTTGTTGGCTGTTGGGAGCAAGTATATACCCAGGGAAGGCCTCCATAACTAGCCATGCTGGTTATACTGAACCTTTCCCATGAGATGCAGCTGCTGTGAGCCACAGTACCCTCTGGAAATTATACAGGAATTTGATTAGAAAAAATACACAGGGAATGAAATTAAAAACCACTAGAACTGTTTGTAATGTGAAAAGACAATTGTTTCATTTACAGACCTTGCTAGTATAAGGAAATTAAGATTTTATGGGTTTTGTATCTTTTACTGTTTTGTCCAAAAGAATACTAAATGTGGGCATGAATAATCATCTTTTTGTGGGCGTTCTATCAGGAGGTTTTAGATATTTTAGAACTGACAGATAAAGGTCTGAAACATGCATCATAAAGAGGAGACCCGGAAAAGCTAGAGTTCATGCACCTATGAAAATTGAAAAGATTGAAGATGGATATGGTTTTTTGGGGGGTAGTGTTGGTATAAGTTTGAACGCCATAATTTCAGACCTTTTTGCTTTCATCATTTTTTTTATACTTTAGGGCTGGCCTTGGACTACACTTTTCCTACCCGTTCCTCCTTCATAGCTGGAATGACAAGCTCCTTGGCTGATCTTAAACCCAGATCTGATCCTTGCATCTCAAGTAGCTGGAATCATAGGCATGAGCCAACCATACCCATCTATGATTTGTTTTTGCAATATAGAAAATGCTAATATGTCGCTGCCATGATTAAAGCAAAGCAGCATGGAACAATGAGCCTGGCCTGTGCTGAGCCTGAGCAAACATCTCAGTCAAGTCTCCTGTTGGTGGAGAATGAGAAGCCTCTGAAGGGCTGAGTAGCTAGCTTGTCCTGACCAAAAAAGCCTGCAGGAGAGGCAAGACTTAGGGTCAAAATACAAGTTCTGGGAACCAGGTTGCAAGTCCAGGCTATGGTTCTCCAACCTTCTCCACTCTTCCCCCTAAGGAAGGCCACTTCCTCACAGCCTGAGAAAAAAGAGGGAATCCTGGATGCCAGTTGTAGAGAAAATCTCCAAATGGAAATATTTCAGAATGTTGGAGGAGTTGACTTTGTCGCTGTCTGATGTTTAGAGATTAAATTTGGCCTCTGTATAGGGTGGATCATTTGAGCTTGATCTTCTCCGTCATCTCTACAGAGGCAGGAATTTCAGGCTGTAATTCTGCACCTGTGTATTTCCTTGACCTGCTTTGTCAGTCAGCAAGCATATCAGTGGCTTCAATTTCCTGATAGAACAAATGACACACAGCCAGCTTCTCATTTCATGTTCAAGCAGCCCAGTGCGGCTGAACACACATGCAACCAGTTCCTCCCTGATACTCCCTCCTGTTGGCCAGACTAAAGTCTTGGTTACAACTTTCCACCATCAGTAATTCAATGCAATAGAACCAGCACAAGGTAAACACCTATAAAACTCAGTGACTGGGTCACACGGGCCTTTTAGGAAATGTGTGTAAATGACATAATTTGTCTTTCATGAAAGATTGGAAAAAATAAGATTGCCTAGTTTTAGTTCTTCTTAAGTTTAAAACTAAAAATAGCCAAAATAAGTGCCACTCATTTATTCATTTATCTACTTATTCACTTACCTGTTAAACTCCTCATTCTGCTTGGGGATGGTTATGAGGGAGAGAATCAAAGTGATACTTTGTGGCCCATGGGGTTACTGTCAGGCATAGGCTCTCTTGTGGATATGAGATGAGGGGTCCCCAGCACTTGCCCTGTGCCCACATCAGCAGATCTTGAGCACAATACCACAGGGCACAGGGCCACCCAGACTGGGGGAAGATGAAGGAGACAGTTCAAGGGCACCCAGCAGATCTGTGACAACACTGGCCAGCTGTGACCATATCTCCCCCATCCCCTCCAACTCCCCTTGCAGCTGGCACTCTAAGCTGAGTGTCCAATGGCACACCCAGAATTCCAGGTCTTGGGAGACTGAAGCACAAAGATCACACGTTCAAGGTCAGCTTGGGCTATATAGTGACACACAAAAAAAAATCACACACGCACACACACACACACACACACACACACACACACACCCTAACTCACTACAGAGCATAAGGAGTTATATAAATGTTCTCCACTCAGTACTATGTCACACATACTCTGCACAGAAGAGAGCGTGTGGACAAGTCCTCCAATTGTCCCTACCTTCTTGCCTTCTATAGGACATCTGCTCATAAGAAATTTATGCCAACAGAAGGAGCAGCATGGACTTGGGCAACGGGCACACCAAGACTTAAGTCCCAGCTCCTCTTGAAAACCACGAAGCTTTGGAGGCAACAGGAGACCGAGCCTCACCAGGCAGTAAGAATAAACAAGCTGGGCCTAGTTCAGTGCTGACAGACCAGAGAGAGAATTCACCATACACTGGGGACTTAAGCAGGAAACATGGCCTGGGCAGAAATGAAAGACATGGACTCCCTGTGGGGAACATGTGATGTGAAAGAGGGCAGACAGCTGAAAGTCCAGTAGGAGTTTAACTGCTTCAGCTGGCCTTTAATTAAC